CGGTCTTCAACTTCACCTCCGCTCACCGCCGTCTTCTCATTCTCGTTATTATTCATGTGATTCCCCGCCCTCTTGTGCCACTTGAGAACGCGAATGTTCCAAGAGGATTTCCATCCTCTTACTTACACATATATTTGAGTTGAACCGTAAGCAATTCTCTTTTCAAGTAGTACAAGACCTTACTCTGATAAATCGTTGTATTATTTCATCATCGATCTTTAGTTATTAAATCAGATACAAGATCAGCGGTTTTTCTGGCCTTCTCCTTGTGCTGAGCAGCGCATCCTGGAAGTCTCCGGAATAGATTTCGGTCAATATGCGATCACCGGTCGGCTTCCTCCATCTGATAAACTTTGAGGATGTTTATTTGCTCTATCGAGACTCCACGAATCGAACTTTTTTCTTAGGTAAGTTTTTCCACGCGTTCTCCATTACAGTATTTCCGCGATCTCCTTTGTATCGGGATTCTGCTTCGATCAGATTTCTGGTGCCATCCTTTTTATACTTATCAAAGAATACCGTTTTTACCCAGGATTCTTTGTGATTCGGATTAATCCTGTCGAATGTTTCCGCATAATTTATCCACCACTTGAACACAGGGTTGGTGAGAACATAGTCAAGCTCTAGCAGCTTAAATGCAACTCCAGGGGGTTTCCAACTTTCAGTGAAGCGAAGGAGTGTCTCTTTCTGCAAGTCAGTCGCTGTCGTTCTCATGCTGGGGAACTTCATGGCTGCATCGAGGATTTGGAGTAGCATCCCAGGTTAATTTGTGTAGTCCCGTTTCAATGCATTGAACAGCATCGATATATTTTTGGATTGTTTGAGACGACAGCGGCCATGTAGGAGACCAACGTGTCGAAGAGCGGATTGTGGTATGCATGTAAATCTGTTCGTGAGAGCCTCAACTTTACGAAGATGTTTTGAACAGATTCGCGATGGTCCAGCCAAATGTTAAATTGTGCAGCTTGCAGTTTCGTCGCCAACTCCTCCATCCTACCTTCTGTTTTCAATGCCACAATAAAAGTCGCCACTTGTTCATCGCCAAATCTCTGCGTTAATGTGGCGACCTGGTCGATTGCCTTGTTGGGGTAACTCTCAATATAAATAACCGTGTACTTGGCCCATGTGTTCCACATCGGGTTATCCATCGAGGTCATCTTATCAAGTCGGAGATCTACCAGGGTTTTGTCCGGTGTTTTTCCACTTTTCACCCAGAACCGTAGCACATCGTCTTCCACACTGTTCGCGACATTTCTGGTTCCATCCATTTTTTTCACGGCCAGAGTAAACTTGAGAAGATCATCGTCAGTAAAAAAAACTTTGTCAATGTCGAGGCTTTAGACACAGGTAGACCGGGATGCGTTACATTCAGCTGGTCTGCGTAGTTGACCCAAGCAGCGAACTCAGGTTTGTTGAAAATATCTTTCTTTGTATCTCAAGTTGGAATTTACGGTAAATCTCGCCAGGATCTTTTTTCATAGTAATCCAGTACTGCGTTAGCTCACCTTGAAGGTGCGTGGCGAGGCTCGTTGTTTCGGGATTTCTTTTGGCTTGTTGAATCAGTCTGTAGAGGGCATCATCTTCGTACTTGCCAGCCAGTGTCATGATTGGGTTATGGGTTAACGCTTTCATTTCCGGGAAGCTTTTTGAGTTAATCGACCCACTTTTTGAATTGCTTCTTCTCGAATAAATCGTCACCGGCATTCTCAAGGTCCATGCGGTGAAACGCCCAAACAGGGTTTTTCTCCTTCTGAAGCCACCTCTTAATGGTCTTTGGTTTCGCATCCCAACGCATGATCACCGCCTTGAGTTTCTCCGTCATGGGCACGAAAAGCCTCCCGCTCCCTCCTCGCCATGTTCGTGACTAGAATGGCCAGTTTGTAAGAATCTAACATTAGCCCCGCTCTCTATATGAGCACCACTCCCAGCCCTCTCGCCGGTAGCAGCAGAAGTGTGGCTAGTTCGTAAGAACTTGGAGTTGGTCGTAGCAGCTTCTTGAAGATCAGTGTCGTTAGAAGAACTTGAGAGGAATTCGTTGGGTCCTGAAGCGCCAACAAAAGCGATAAAGGAGACGATAGCCACGGCTATCAGGAAGCTGAGGTGCATATCTGCTGGAGTGCAAGTTGGTGAATGGTCAGTACCGTACATGTACAAAAATGCACAGTATGCATGACAACATGATTATGTGATTTTTTTTTAATCGTGAACATGTTGACATTTAATATTGTTATTATTTATCGTGTACATCCACGAAAGGTGGCCATGAATCGCTAGATTATTCAGGGATATCCAGCAGAGCGCTGGCAAAAAATTTTCAAAAAAATAAATACATATATTGTCAGTTGTTTCGGGAATAAAACTATGGAAGACTTTCCGCATCTGCCAGAAAAAAAAACCTGCATAACATTGTCGAAACTAACTCGGTTGTTCAGCGAGGAGATACCTGTAGATATGGTATTCACGCCCATGCATACTGAATCTGAATGGACGGTACAGTTTATTATGCAGCCGGCAATTTCAGAAGAGTATTAATACCAATTAGAACTCAATTGTCGTCATAATTGCAACAGAATCTACGGTACATAAGTAACAATGAATGGATTTAGCTTTGTGAAAGCGTTGAAAATAGATTACAGGAGTAACAAGTCCACCTTCAAGTAGGCGAAATTGCTCTAGGTACAATGCTAGAATTAATAAGACGGCGCCTGGCGTCCAAATGGAAGTTCTCGAGGCTTGCCGTCTTTGTCAGTAAACAGCCAATTCTCGATCGCTTGAAGTGCTGACGGCGACTTCTGTGAAGTTGCAGAAAGTGGTCGACCAGTTCGTCTTTGACGTCTTTGAGGAGGGGCTGCCTGTCGTTGTTTAAACGGAAAAAATAACGTACCAGTGCTATTTCCTGCACTTGGCGGAGTCTCATGTTTATCAGCAGGCGTTGAAGCGCTTGACGGAGCTGGCGGGAGCAGCCAATTGGCAATCCTATCGGACAGCGAGTTCACCTGCTTGTCTGTATCCACTACACGCTGTCTCTTAACTCGTGGAGCTTCCATGTCGACATTCATCGACATGTTCTCCACACTCTCTCGTTTCCTCATATTAGGAGGGAACGAAGCCACGGCTGAGAATCTGGTCGACGCGGTCCGTTCCGGTGTATTTTCAGGAACAACCTCCTTGCCCTGCAATGGCTTTGGCTCTGACGTGATCGAATTTCTCGGCACCTCTACCAGATTCTGATGCTGTCCAATGAACAAATGCAGTTCGTTCGCTTGATTCTGTAGTAACTCCAACTCCAACTCCAACGCAGATATCTGTAAAATAAAAATCATCAGTAAAAAATAAAAATATATATAAAACAACCGTACTGGCGAGCGCTGGAATCTGCAGCTAAACAAAATCTCGCTGATCAGATCTTTGTCGTGTTTCTTGAGCCCATGCCACCTTTGCATGGGTCGCTGGTCCTGTAGTCTCGCTAGTGGCAAAATCAATGTCCACACCACGTCATCCGCTCCGATCCTCTCCTCCTGCATCACGTCAACTCTCACTGTCCCTATTGCCGCTGGGAGTCCTTCAAACACAAGTGCTTCGCTCCATTTCGGCGTGTAGCTTACTGGTCTCTTGGTAGTCATTTTCTGCTCCATAACTGTAGTGCTCTCTAACTGTTCGTCTTCGTTGCTGTTGACTGCCGCCACGACTTCCACTGTCACGCGAGCGTATGTGCGCTGACCCGAGAGGAAACCTGCTTTAAAGAGCATATTGCGTCCAGATTGCACCTTCACATCGAGGCGAGCGATGCTCAATCCATTGTCCAGACGTTCGTCCACGCCTGTTACGGGGTTGAAGCGCAACTCGCGCTGTAATTGACGCAACTGCGCGGTCTTGGCAGCGCGGGTCTCTTCAAGGCGGCGGATGCGCTCCGCGACATCATCCACGGCGCTCATCGTGCGGGGTAGAGGCAGCAGGAGAGGAACGATCAAGGTTATAACGCAGTCCTATTTATCGGGAAGGTCGCGAAAACTCAGACTGTTCCGACTTTATATCGCGAGAGCCAATCAGATTGCGTGGAAGTGAAGCCAGAAAATCATTTTTTAGAAAATGACACAACAAAGCTGATTGTGAAGTAGCTGTAGTGAAGTAACCCCACGACAATACATTTTCACGTTTTCCGATTGGCTATAATTGCATAGAGGACAAAACGCAAATATCGCGTTCTAATTGGCCGAAACTCTGAATCGTCACAAAAACATGATGCCCGGTGGTCTCGCCACCAGAGCCCCCCGTTCACTGCCGCCCGTTCAGTGCTAGAAATCCCTCACCCGATCGACCATCATGCCTGCCGGAGAATCGAAGCTCAAGACCACGCCGCTGGACCCGCGTTTCCCCAACCAAAACCAGGCGCAGCACTGCTGGACGCGCTACAACGAGTTCGTGCTCTGCCTCAAGAACAACGACGGTGACGAGGACACCTGCAAGAAGTACTTCCAGAACGCCGCCTCGATCTGCCCCAGCTCCTGGGTACGTTCTTTGCTGCCGTCACCATTTCAACAATAGTGTTTAATTTTTTTTTAATTGCAAATTAACGACAGGTGGAGCGCTGGGACGAGCAGCGCGAGGAGGGCACGTTCCAGGGCGTGCAGTACTTCAAGGAGGAGTAAATGTGCTTGGCCACGTGATGCTGTGTCTTCTCTATTCTCCCTCCCCTACTTGCTCATGTTTCAAGGCTCGAGACTTGCACTATCGGCTCTGGTTAATGGCAGAATGTAGCATTTAGCTCTTGCGCAGTTACATCCTCTCCATGCTCAGAATCGACGTGCGATGACAGCAATATTTTCACGCACAATGAACATGTTGCCGTCTGTGGCAAGTTTGCCTCTCTCAGCCTTCAAAATAAGCGCCAAGTTCATCATTAACCTGCAAATATCAAACTAAAAAAAAAAGCATTGCCAGCATTTTGCCATCTTGTTTTGCCAATTTCTAAAGGTCTGCCCAACGCCAATAACCTTCCTCGTGTTTCTAACACATTTTCGCTATTTTGTCAACCAAGAGATGAAAATGCCGAGCGCTCTGTCCTTCGAGGTGTTAGGACGGTACCATCGCGCTCGAGCTGCGACGCTCACGCTGCCTCATGGAGAGGTACGCACGCCTGTGTTCATGCCCGTGGGCACTCAGGGCGCGATCAAGGGGCTGACGACGCCCCAGATGCAGGAGAAGCCCGTGGATTGTCAGATTTTCCTGGCCAACACGTACCACTTGGCTCTTCGTCCCGGGACCGAAGTGCTGGCTCAATTGCCTGGCAAATTGCACGAATTCATGCAGTGGCCGCGCAACTTGTTGACCGACTCTGGAGGTTTCCAGATGGTCAGTCTATCGAGACTGTGCGAAGTATCGGAGCACGGCGTGCAGTTCGAGAGCTTCGTGGACGGCTCCACCATGATCTTGACACCCGAAGCGTCCATCGCTCACCAGAACCGCATTGGTGCTGACATTATCATGGCACTGGACGACGTAGTATCAAGTTTGGCAGACGACGATGAACGCTTCAAAGAAGCTTGTGGACGTACAGTGCGTTGGCTGGATCGCTGTATCCAAGCACACGCTCATCCGGACAAGCAAAATCTCTTTGGCATCGTGCAAGGAGGACTCGATGTGAGCGAAGGAGGACTCCGAGACCAGTGTCTAAGCGAACTCATTCAGCGAGACTTGCCTGGATACGCCATCGGTGGATTGGCAGGAGGGGAGTCCAAGGAGGCATTCTGGAAAGTTGTGGCTAAATGTACCGCCCAATTGCCAGAGAATAAACCACGATATCTCATGGGTGTTGGATATCCATTGGATCTCGTGGTATGCTCGGCATTGGGCGTTGATATGTTCGACTGCGTGTATCCAACTCGCACTGCACGATTTGGCACGGCCATTGTGCCTTCCGGACTGCTTAAACTCAAAAGTGCCAAATGTGAACATGATGACCGCCCGATCGACGACACGTGCGAGTGTTTCGTGTGCAAGAAATACACACGAGCGTATCTGCGTGTGCTGCTGAAGAAGGAGGAGACGTTCGGCGACGCGGAGGAGACGACAGGCAGCATTGGAGCACACCTCATCACGTACCACAATGTCACGTACATGCTGAACCTCATGCGTCGACTCCGACAGTCCATTATCGACGAGAAATTTGAGCAATTTGTGCAAAATTTCATGTTGCAACAATTCCCGGATCGCAATTATCCTCAATGGGCTGTCGATGCTTTGACGGAGGCCAAGATTTCGCTTAACTAAGCAACAAGATAACATCTTTTTTTTCCAGAAACCTCTTGTTGGTTGATATTGTCACTTATTACTGTCCCCTACGTCTTTTGTCAAAGGTAACTACACTTACAATGGAGAAATTCTAACACTATCGACGCTGTAGATCCACGAGTCTTGACATACGGGTTTTGTCTTGGGGTTCTTGGCGATGAAGACGCTTGCAACTCTACGTCAGCTTGGAACGTACACAAATGAAGGCCACATATCCAGTCCAGGCCTTGCCTCAAATACTTGTTTTCTTGCGCTTGGGGCCTTGGAAACGGGAGAATTGGCACTTAAAAACGTTGGTTGGGATTGTGAGGTAACCCTCCCATTGGAGGCAACTGTAAGTGTTGCTGGCCTTGTTGAGGCGGCATAAATGAGTACGGACCCGTCGAACCAGAGTTACTTGATCCATTTTGCGAGTTTGGATAGTTCGGCTCATTCCACGACTCAGAAGGAAGTGTCGTCGATGTTTGCGGAGGTAAATTCTCATCCAGCCCTGCACTTTCCAGCAGCACATCGATGTAATCTCGTGGCTGTGGCGTTGACTCCTGTCGATCTTGATCTTGTCGCTGGTGATACACTACCCGCTCTTGTTGACGTTGATATTGAGTCATCGGAGGTCGTTGCTGCAGTTTCCGCTCATTGGCTTGGGAAAAATCCATCGATGCAACGCCACTCTGGAACGTTGACATGTTCTGTGCTGCATTCGAGTCGCCAAACTTGAGCGACATCATCGGCTGATACGGAGTGCGGCCTACAGAGGATGAAGTTACGTTGATAGAAGTCGGCCATCCACTGCTGGCTTCAGTCTTGATGCTCGGCGATCCGTATTCAGTTCCTCCATAGATATTTTGATGTCGATTCATCTGCCGAGGCATTTGTCTTTGTTGCTGTAACTGGTACGTGTCTTGGTTAAATGAGTTCGACGTAACAGGGAGTACCACCGACGCATCACTCTTCATGCTCGAGGCAAAAACTGGCTGAGGAGGGGACGAACTACCAGAAGACGTAATAAAATCTTCAATCTGACTGATCGAAACGGATTTTCCACCCGAAAAATCCGTCAAAAGTTGGTCACTTCGACGTCTCCCGAGATTGATAGTGTTTCGAGGACCAACGCCGCCACTTCCGGGCATGTTCATGGTCGCTCCCATGCCAAACGTATCGCCGAAAACAGGCTGCATCACATGAGGGAGACTCTGTCGCTTCCCACGTGCTGGTTGGTATGGATAACGTTGAGATAATTGCTTGGCTTCGGCGATTTTCTGCAGATACATGAACTGCTGTTGCGCTGACGAGGAATTGGTCATAGCATCGTTACGAGCCTCCATTTCCAGCTCAAATTCTTGCTCTGCGGGGGTTCCAGCACGTTTACGACCTGGAATGGACCCCACAGCCTCAGCGGCGGCTGCAGCTGCTGCTGCTGCCGCCGCTGCCATACCGAACGCCTCTGAGCCAGGGAGCATTCCTGTAGAGTGGCGTCGGCCGGCGGCTGCGGAGTTCAGGAGCGTCACTGCTCCACCCGATAAAGTGTTGGATTTTTGACGTTTCAAGGCTTGTTGAGTGGGTAACTGACTGCGTGCGTGGACTAGATCATGGGCTGCGAAGCGTGCTTGTTCTTGCGCGTGCAGTTGGTTCATGAGTTCAATGGGATTCGACTTGATCGTCGCGGCCATAGCGGACATAAGAGCAGGGTTCGCTCGCTCCTTACGTTTAATGAGCTTCATTCTGTCCTTATCCGCTCGTAAGAAGAACGGGTGGCTGAAGGTGCAGATGTTTGTCTGTGTTTTGGTCCATTTCTTGAAGCCAAAGTAGTTAAGTTGTCTCTGGAAACTCGACACCTTGTTGTGTTTGAAATATCTGGGTAAAATCTGGCTGGCGAGCTCTTCCGGTTGGATAATCTGGAACGCGGTGCCCTCGTGCGACCACGTGATGATATTCGGGTCTTCTACCTCCAAGATCTGATAGAGGAAGCGCAGGAACTTCGGGACACCCACGTTGCGGCGCTTGATCACGTGCACTTCGGGCCTTTTCGCTTCAGTTGTTGTCGACTTCTGTTCCGCGCTTAAAGCGAGCTCCTGCTCTTGTTCGGGCTCCTCCTGAGGCCCCACGAGGGAGGCTTGACGCGTGGACATTTCGTCCATTTCGTTTGCAGTGTCTAAACTGTCACTGAGTTCCGATTTCGAAGCAAAAAGTGGAAAAGATCCAGCGTCGAGAGTTGAGAGCTGCTGGGGCTGCGACGTTCGCTGTGGGCTACCGAAGAGTGGCGCAGAGGCCGGAGGACCCATGTCGCTGACACACTGGGAACTGGCAGGGCCTGTAGGGGTGGAATTGCTGCTGGAAGCGCTGCGGTCTCTCTCGCCGAGCATTCTGCGTTATGCATCCTTTCAAGACCGAAGAAATCTTCTGGGAAAAAACTTCCACATTTTTGGAACGTTGGGTTTTCAGCCAATCGATCGCGTCATATTTTCTTTTTGACCAATGAAAATACTCTCACTTTCCTTTTTTTCAAAGATCATGGGCTTCGACTAATGTTGACGTTGGTATGGTAACTGTAGAGCAGTAGCCAGCCCAGACAGAGCCACTCCGTGGCTACAAGGGGCGAAAGTAGATGCAATGAACCACACGTTTCGCGGATTTGTGTCAATTTCGCAGGGCCAGTGAGATGGACGGGCAGAGACGACTGACATATACTAGCACACGCAGTCGACTGCATGTTGTATGATATACTTGGTGCGAGAGAGAGCCCGCGATCTTTGAGGATAAGGTTCTAAAAAAGTAGCTTAGGAAAGAAGCGACTCATCTAACGTTAGTCTGGATTCGCCTTGAGCCAGTACGGACAAGCGGTCTATTTGATTCCTACAACTGGTCATTCCGCACGCACTGGGCAGCGTTCTGGGCCTTAAATACATGCAGCTCGAGCGTAGAGAGTGACTCGCCTCTGCCTCTGGTCAGAAAGAGGAACTGCTGGGGTGGACGCAGTGGACTTTGAAGCAAGAAAGTATCTTGCGAGCAAGACAATTGGACGATAAAAAGGGTCCAACACAACAACTTCAACGTTATGTGTGGCACATCAAAACATGCTATCATTTCAGCACATTAAACTTCATCTCATTAGGCAGGATACAAACACCAAGTCATTTTCATGACTGGATAAGGCTACAAATGGCGAACCTCGCGCAGCAGCTAGCGAGGCTGCAACTCGGCGCCTTGGGGGGACGACATCGCCCTACCAAGCGCCTCAACGATGCGCCTCCCATTAGTGCCAACGTCTCGTCCATCTCTCTACAACACAGCTCGGTCCAACGGGCGCTATTGGCGTCACTACACAGCCCTGCGCAACGTGTCCTGGCACTCGGAGACGGGCCTGAAGCTCCTATTAATGGCCAAACCACAGGCTATTTGCCCTCGGGGCCTATCTTCCAAGTCGACTACGCTCATACTAAGAAATTCCTTGTGGCTGTGGACGAAGAGGGGGCCGTAGGGATCGTAGATGTGGCCGCAGGACGCCGGAAAAGCCGCTGGTTGGCGCATCACAACGCCGTATTCGACGTAATTTGGACGCAAGACGACACGCAGGTATTAACAGCAGCAGGAGACTTGGAGATTAGAATCTGGGACGTACAGACTGCAGGAGTGCGCTCTGCCTCTCCTGTATCAACGCTTAGAGGACACGATATGAGTGTCAAGTGTGTGCGTCAAGCGCCAGATAATGCTCACGTGTTTGCTTCAGGTGGACGCGATGGGAGAGTGTTACTCTGGGATACTCGCGCGGCTGGGAAGCCTATATCTTCGCTAGATAATGTACATGCAGAGCCTTCGCCATCAAGAACCTCTTCACCTAACGTAAGCTTCACGTCGCCCATCCAGAAAAGGAGACGCCGAACAACAGCTGCCTCGTCGACGTCACCTTCGCCACGCAGTGTCACGTGCGTGGAGTTTAGTTCAACAGGAAACGAGATCATCACAGCCGGTGCTGTGGATGCAGTCGTAAAGTTCTGGGACCTCCGCCGTCTGAACAATGGGAAGAAGAAAGCGACAGCTAAAGTACCGACACCGATTCGTGAGATCTCGTGCTCAAGTCGTGAGGGAGCACGTCGTGGTATTTCATCGTTAGCTCTTTGCCAACGAGGGACTGGAAGTACGTCTCACCTTCTTGTTAACGTACTGAATGACTCCATTGCTGTGGTTGATTTCGGACAACAGCAAGCTCGAACAGGTCTCCGCTGTGCAGGACATCAAGCGAGTTCATTCTACTGCAAAGCTGCTTTCAGTCCCGAAGGAAACTTCATCGCCGGCTCATCCGCAGACGGCGTAGTGTACGTCTGGGACGCACGCTTAAGTGCTTCGCACGACGCGACTCTATCGTCTTCATACTCTACTCTGGGTGTTCAGCAACGCATGCCATGTTTTGCATTGAAAGGCCATACAAACGAGGTAAACGGAGTCGCTTGGAGTTCCCAGGACTTCACGCAACTTGCATCCTGTTCGGATGATGGCACAGTCCGCTGCTGGCAGGTTTGTGGACAAGAAACTAGTGATAAAACTGCACAATTTGAACTACAGCTAGCGTCAGACGATTCCTCAGACGGGAGAACGGAATGGACAAACTGGAACGAATTTACTGATCAACCAGACGGATATGCGTACCGCGTACGAAGTAGCAAGCGACCGAGTCGTCCTTTATCTCCAAGACGCCAGAGAGTAACCTTGCCAGACAAGCAACGCGCTTCTCCTCAAGTCACAAGACGCAACTCGGAGCCTCGTCTGCATCCTGTCCATGAGATCCCCACTGCACAACAACCGCAACAAACTCAAGATTCCCATTCCCAACCAAAGCGAATTAAACTTCGACGCAAAGCGAAATCCTCAGTCCAACCCAAGCGAGCTCAACGCACACTATTGGAACTCTGGGGACGGTAAACCGAGATAATAGAAACAGTTAGACTGCTACCAATTGATCGTGATCAATTTTTTTTAAAGTCAAGACGATTCGACCTGGTTTATACTGAGGCTGTGGCACTTTACAGGACGTCCTCCTCGAACGCCTTCTCAAAGACTTCGAGAAGTTTATCGATGTCCTTCTCGTCCACAACAAGTGGCGGACACAGACGAATCGTGCTACAAAAAAATAAAAAAATATTAGACATTGCAATAAAAAAAATAAAAAAAACTTACTTTTCACCGGCGGAGATAATGAGCACCTGCTTGGACAGCGCGTACTCGATAAGTGGACCCACGGGCTTGTTGCATTCAATAGCAACGAACAGTCCGCCCTTGCCGATCGGTTTACGGATATCCACGACCTGATCCGGGAACTTCTGCTGCAACTTTTCCAGTCCGTCAGCCAGGTATTTGCCACGCTTTTGCACGTTCTCCAAGAAATCCTCGTCCATGATCTTGGTCAGCACTGTGTTGGCCACAGCACACACCAACGGATTGCCACCGAACGTCGTACCGTGCTGGCCAGGGGTGATACCCGACGCCACCTTATTGGACATGAGCACAGCGCCAATAGGCAGACCGCCAGCCAGCGGCTTAGCCAGCGTCATGATGTCGGGTGTCACGTCGTACAGTTCGTGTGCGAACAACTTGCCCGTACGGCCCAGACCACACTGCACTTCGTCCGTAATGAGCAAAGCGTCGTGCTTATCGCACAGAGCACGCAGTTCGCGCATAAATTCCGGGTCGGCGGGGTACAGACCACCCTCACCTTGCATGGGTTCAATGAAAACACCCGCGGTTTTGTCCGAAATGAGCTTCTTGACGCTTTCAATGTCGTTGAATTCGGCGTAGTGGACGCCAGGCACCAGAGGCATGAAAGCTTCACGGATCTTAGGCTTGTGGGTCAGTGTAAGCGCTGCAGCCGTACGGCCGTGGAATCCGTGCTTGAACGAGATGAACTCGAATTTCTTACCTTCCAAAGGCCTGTAAAAAAATTATGGTCAATAGTTTTTTCAGTGGAAAGAATTGCAACTTTTTCACGTACGTTCCCTGGGAGACGCGGTTGGCGTACAGACGAGCGAACTTGTACGCGCCCTCGTTGGCTTCAGTGCCCGAATTGGCGAAGAAAACCTTGTCGAAGCGCGAGTTGTCTACCAGGTTCTTGGCCAGCTCCAGGGGAGCCTTGGAGTGGAACAAGTTGCTCACGTGCGTCACCTTTTTGCCATTTTCCACGAGACTATTGTACCAGTCCTCGTCGCCGTGGCCAAGACCGGAGACGGCGATGCCGGCGTAAAAGTCCAGGAACTCGCGGCCCTGCTCGTCGTACAGTTTGCTGCCTTTACCGTGTGTGAACACGAGGCCAGGCTCGCCACGAACGCCATTGGAATTGTACGTCTTGGCAAGGTATTTCTGCTCGTACGAGTCGGCGTTGAAGGGTTTGGCTGCGGCAGCGAAGGCCCGCGAGTTGCAGGCCACGCGCTGCAACGACTTGGCAGAGCGAAGAGCGGACGGCAACATGGTCGACTGGTGTTAAACGGGGAACTCGATATGGCCGTGTGAGCTTTTCCGGTTATGAGCCAAGCGAAACGATCAGAGGATTTTCGGCAATGCGCTTGTGGAGTTCCATGCAAATTCATGTGGACCCCACAGCACCGGTCGTCCAATCACGATATAGGATGTCAGCTGGGGTAATCGAGATGATGAGCGGAAGCTCGGGGTCAGCATTGTGCATGCTGGGTGAACGGCTTTCGCTTCATGCCATTGACAAGCGAGACGATTAAACGCAGTAATTGTTTTATTGCTCTCCTTTCGACTTGGACAGGTTGGCATGTAGGATACTTAGTCCATTGCGCTCAGAAGAGATCTGGGATATTATTGGTCGATAACTTCAACATCGCCGCATCCAATCTCGTGAATACTTGCCAGCAATACGCAAGACTGTCTTGCGGAATTGTACGTGTTTCAAGCAATTCTCATAGCAATCGATGCTGACAATGTACTGAATGAATAAATATCCTGCATGACGTCGAACAATTTCATGATCAAATTCAGAATTGACAAACTGTGTGTGTTCGTAATGGAACGGAGTTCCGTGATTTTGTTTTTGAAACACAGTTTCGTGCAATCCTCTCAAAGAAACTTTTAATTTTGCTCAATCACTTTCGAAGTTTTCAACCCATATGCCGCTTCATAGTTCTGACTATTTGACTGTAAACGTCGTGTGCATCATGGCATCAGCGCTGCAAGTGTTTGCAGTGGAAGGCATCACCCGCTCCATCTTCTTTTATCTGGATCTGTCGAGTCTCGACTCCTTGTTGCACGTGTTCCAAGCGACGTCGGAGCTGCAGGGATATCTGCAGGACAGTGCGCTGTGGACGGAATTGTCAATTCTGCACTTCAAAGGCCAGCGTGATTTAGAGCTGCGGTTCTTGGCACTACCAACGCGAGATCGAGGCTGGGAGTGGGCAACTAGCGAGCGTGCATGTGTGGAGCTACAGGAATTTCTCCAGTCCATGGACGAGCGGACGCAGTTCGACGGGACTGTCAAAATTCTGGAAGGTGACATTGGCTACATAAACGACATCGACGGGCAACCTTTAGACGGTATCGCGTTCCCCACCAATTCGCACTTAACCAACCACTATGTGGGCGCAGCTCAAGCTGTGTTTCGTCGTGCAGGTCGTGGCCTGACTGACCATGTGAACGATCCTTCCTTTCGTGGTCGACGCCCCACGGGCTCCGCTGTGGTCACCCCGGCATTTGACGCAGGAGTGGAGAAACTCATCCACTGTGTTGGGCCTCGGATCACAATGCCGAACTGCTTTGAGCTGTTGGCTACAACGTATGAGAACGCCATGAGTGCTATTTTGCACGAGGAACTGAGCTGTGTGACGATGGCTTCAATTTCGACGGGGAACATGGGCGTACCCTGTGATGAAGGAGCTCAAGTGGCACTACGAACGATACAGAAATTCTTCCGAGCGAATCATTGGGACGGAAAACTCGCCATTGTATGCTACGATGAACCAGTGTTGAATGCATTCGCGAAACAGAAGCAAGCTGTACTTGATCGATTCAACGAGACTTTGGATTTGCCTGTGGTTACTCAAGACAATCTACCTCGCTGGCCTTTCTAGAGAGTTGGTTCTTAAGAAAAAGAAAAAAATAATTTTGTTTTTTTGGCTCTGCCAGTTGCAGTATAATATGATATATATTATGCCACTTGGTGAAGATGTGTTTACATCCCTAGCTATTCTTGTAAAGGCTTAGCGCATCCTCTAAGTTAGAGGCCAGTTCTTCTGTATTTGTGTTACCTTTAGCCGTGATGATCATTTGTGACAGCTCACTCTCATCGTAGTATTTCAGAAATGTTCCGATAATGCTCGTCTTCTCGCTGGGTGTCTGCTTGTTAAAAGCAGTCAAGTACCGGATCCACATGTCCAGTAAAGGACTGGCGAGTAGCATTGATCCTGCTTCGTCAAGTTCAAGGATCTGGAAGATGTTGTCCGGAGTCTTATGAGAGACGGCGTGCCAGTTTCTAAACAACTCGAGTTCCATGCGCTTAGCAATCTTCTCCGTGCTGGGAGCCTTCATCGCTGATACGATCATGTCTACTAACGATATGTCATGATAGTATTCACGCACTGTCTTCATCATGGTTTTACCCATATCAGGGAAAGTCACATAGAAGTTATCGAGATACTGAATCCAGTTGGCGAGTTGAGGGCTTGTCAGTAGGCTGTCGCCCTTATTGCCAAGTCGCAGCATACTGAAAAGTTGTTCTGGGAGTCTGTCAACCATGCGTTGCAATTCTTCGATTTTGTAGCCCGTAGCGTCCAACACCATCCATATTGTTGTTTCCTCGCCGTGGGTATACCGGTTGAACGCACTTAAGTATTTCCCCCACGTGACCACTAGTGGATTCGTAAATAGCATATCTCCTTCTTGGTCAAGATGGAGCACCTTGACAAAGATGTACTCCGGAGTCCAGTTTAGTCGTATCCAGCGCTGGAATAACTCGCTCTGTAGTTTCTTGGCAGCACTCGCCGTATCTTTCACCTTCATCGCTTCATCGAGCATTTTTACCAGTTTCATTTCTCCATAATTCGCCGCCAATGTCCCAATCAGTGTGGCCTGATATTTAGGGTTCGCTGCGTTGTACTCCTTCACGTAGTTGAGCCAGGTCTTGAGTTGCTCAGCACATCTTTTCCCACCTTATCGAGTTTGAGTTGCTTGAAATAGTCGTTGGGCGTTCCTTTCGCCATCCACTTCTGCTCTGTAGTACCAGTTTCGCCCAGCTGGGGTTATTCTTCGCGGATTGCAGCAGCTTTACCAACCCTTCACTGTCGTACTGCTTAGCCAAAACCGACATTAAAGTCGTTTTCTTGTCGGGGTTTGCCTTGTTAAGATCTTCCACGTATTTTATCCACTTCATGAACTGTGGGTGATCGAACAGTTTTTCACCTGCCTTGTCCAGCGACAAGAACTTGAAGACATATCCAGGGAGCTTCCGACTATATATCCAACTCTGAAGCTGCTCTTCGTGGAGTTTAGTAGCGAGATTTGCTTCACTTGGAGTCTGCATTGCTTTAATTAGCAGACGTGTCAACGCTTCGTCGCCGTAGTAACTCGTCATGATCGAAACTCTCGGATTCCGAGGATTTCTCGAGTAGAAATCGTCCACATAGGTTAGCCACGTTGCAAACTGCGGGGCTTCTAACAGTTTGTCACCTGCCCTGTTGAGTTCCAGGAACGTGAAGACGTATTTAGGAAGCGTTTTAGTGTCCGTCCAATGCTCGATTAGCTCTCCGTCTAGTTTATTGGCGATACTTGCAGTACTGGGAGTCTGCTTTGCCTCACGGAAAATCTTGGATAGAGTTTCATCGTCGAAGTGACGCGTTACCATCGGAATGATAGCATCTGCTTGCTTTGGGAATTTCTTCTCGAAATCAGCCACATAACTTAGCCAAGCGGAGACTTGAGGATTGTCAACCAAATTGCCACCCGCCTTGTTCAGCTCCAGCAGCTTGAAGACTTTCGCTGGTGCCTTTTTGTTATCCAGCCAGTACTGAAGTTGCCTTTTCTGCAGATCAGCAGCTAAATCCTGGGTTTTTGGGTTCTTCTGTGCGGTGATGATCATTTGTGACAAGCGTTCATCGCCGTAGTAAGACGTTAACTTTGAGAGCGTCGACATCCCACTTTCAGGATGCTGTTTAGTTAAATCGTCGACGTACTTGACCCACGTACCAAATTTCCGCTTGTTGAATAATTCACCCTTTCCGCGGCCCAGACTCAGCCAAACGAACACATCGTCTGCCGTTTCCCTTCCATTTAGCCAACCGCGCAGTGTTTTCTCCGAGATTGTCGACGGCATGAACTTGCTCTTAATATTCCCAATTGTAGAGACCGGAATTCCTCGCTCTTCATGCGACCGTAGCAGTCTGGATGAGGTGAAAGCGTTCACCTCGTCTGCAATAGGCTGAAACACTGTTGGGAGATCAGATGTCAGGGAGGCACTGACACAGGCAAGGAATGTCGTGACTACTAGTAGAAGAGCATGCATTGCCGTGGAATCCTTCTTTTTGATCGGAAGAGTAGCAACTTGTTGTATCCCGACAATGGTAAATTCGAAACTGTGACATTCAAACTGAAAATATGTTCTAGTGTTTGTGTACCGTCAATAAGCGACACTAGTGATTTGACAACAGGGCAAAGCAGCCGGAAACATTGTACATGTATGCCTACTGCCTTTCGCAGTTTCTTCCGATTTGTTGTTGTTGCCTTTTTTTTATCCCTTTCGTGGTCAACAGGGGCATATTTCGCCCTTTGATGACTACTAGCCGAGCGCCGTCGCTAATGCGTCGGTAATTTATGTTGGTCGCACTTGTAAATGCCCTTCACGCCTCCGCCTCGCTTTGGCGGATAATAACTTTACTAAACTATTATTTAAACTATCTTCTGTCTTTTTAAAAACCCTTATTAAGTTCTCTGGATTTTATATCCAGAATTTTAGCAGAGGTGCGATTCTGCCTAAAAAACTCTCTTTCTTTATTTCTAGTACTTGTACTCTCTTTGTGTCGGCGTTTTACTGTATGACTCGATGTGCCTGTGATATCAGCGAGTCACGTGGATTTACTAGGCCAAAGTGGTGCTATTCCCTTTGAATTTAAGTGGGCCGTCTAGAGATGTAATTTCTTCACCATACAAAGGTTGTTATTATTACCTCCTATACTAAATTTCCTCTACACACTTAAAATTACCCAGGTGAATGTTGCTTGTGTCGACCAGGAGCAACATTCATAACCCAATAACCCAGTGAATGTTACCCCAAACAGTTAGGGCTAAATAAAAAATTTGATTGACTCTCTGGTTTCTACAAGAATACCCCTCTGTATTTTGCATAAATGCTTTGGGCTTTGGGTATCACTGAGTGACTGAAACGCTCTTGCGGAGATCAGCGCTCCGGTTCCGTTTGCAATGACTCGATCACATCGATCGACATTTAGCTGGTGCACAAAGTATATGTGCTTAAACCGTTACGTATATGAAGAGTGAGCTTGTTTATGGTGGATCTAAAAACTTATATTCAATCTCGTCCACGAGGCACCGCTGTTCTGTTCTCAAAGCGTAAGATTAAGAAACATAACATGCACGTATTACACTTCATTCATATATGTAGATGTAACCACCCTCTCCGACCAGTTCAAGACGATTCTAGCATAATAATCTACTCTGTCGATTGATGAAGTAGGTTTAAAGCGCGGCTAATTAACCGTTTGTAGGTCAATTAGCGTATAATTAATGTAAAAATAAACACTTGGAGCTAAAGCACAGATATACTAAGTGTGCGGGTGCCATCACTAGATTTTACGTTCTGTCATACAAGTTTTGTTCATGGGTAAATGGTGATGTTGACGCGATACTATTTTGGTCTTCGACCGTGAGTAGTGACCATGCAATCGTCCAACTGGAAATTCTAACACCTGTTTTAAACTGTGGTGCTGGCGTAATAAGGAGTTGGTCATCGTTTCGACCATGAATCCTGGACATGCATGCATCCTACTGGAAATTCTAGGACCTAGATATTCCTTTGCTGTGGTGCTGGCGTAATGCGGAGTTGGTCCTCGTTACGACGGTAACTTCTGTCCATGCAGTCATCCTACAGGAAATCCTAGTATAGTGACGTTTTGTTCGTCCGCGCAGATCTTGACTGGATGTGTCGTCTGGATCATATACTGAAAACTCGGATGCAAATGAAACTGGACGAGCGCTAGGGCTCACTGGCTCTTCCTGGGTTTTTGACTGCGAAGATGTCTGCTGAACTGAGCGAATCCAAGCAGGAAGTGTCTTGTTCTGACTGGGTCTCTTGTGGATGATAGAAGACTACTTCACTTCAGTCACCACAGTATGCTGGGGGTAGTAAACTCGCTTGCGTTTGCAGCAGATGAAGATCCCCACTAACCCAACAAGTTGTAATCTTACTAGGTATTGACCAAATTAGAATATGTCAAGATGCATTTGGAATTACACATAAAACCTTTAAGTTTAAAAATTAACCCTTTCGTGAACGCACACTTTTGACCTGGCAATATTATACTATAGAAGGCCAAGTCATTAGGCCATCAAAGGCGACATTTTGCCCCCCCCCCCCCTTCATAAACTACGATACCGCAGCAAATCTTCTGCAAATCCTTCTAGTTCAAGTAGAAAGGGCGATTCTGCATCATCCACACACAAAATTTAATGAAAGGGGGCATTTCCAGGGGTTCGTAGTTAGCGTTGATACACGCTAGTATCCGAATCCAGGACCCCTCCAAACGTGTATCAGGATCCGGATCATGTTGGGGGGAGGCTGGATTTGTATCACGTGATACGACCTGTGCTAAAGTGATCCTCAAGTGACCCAGTATCTGATACTGCATACACTTTGATGAGTGCTGAAGTTGTAGTTAATTTCGAACGTCTTCGGCAGAAGTACTGAGAAAGATCATACCTGCGACTTTATAACAGAAACCGACAGCAAGCAAAGACAGCCAGCGAGTTCATGGCGCAGCTTGGTGAAAGCTAAGCTGTCGCAAACAACGACCGAGCAGGTGGTGAAGCAAAAGCAGAAGAGGAAGAAGATGTTGACGCTCGCGGAATCCCTACGTCAGTCAAACATTTTACTCAAAACCAGTTCAATTTGGTATGGAACTACATACACAAGCTCCGTGTACCTATTCCAGACCCACTCGATTCCAGTAGTTCTTTCACCCATATCTGTCTGGTTTGTGCCGATGAAGCTTTGAACACAAACGACCCAACTGCGGTTGCATGGAAGTCATGTCTTAACCGACAAAAAAAACTTCTAGTAATGCTCGAAAGCACATGCTCCGTAACCACAACGAGTATCCTTTTTCAGTGGAGGCTGGTGCCCAGCGGAAAAACAGAGTTCAGCGTAGGATTGAAACTAACGGTGACAACACCGCTATTAGAGGCGTTCCTGATGATAGAACGCCAAGTGCAGACAAACCCAAGCCTAAGAAGCAGCGTACACTGGAAGTATCCATCGCAATGGGCTCAGATAAAGTACGAGTCCTGTCAACGAGGTGGCTACTTTCTTCTGGTTTGCCGTATACAATTCTTCAGAACGACGAATTGATATCTGTTTTTCGGCGCCTTAGCAACCAGCCTCGCCTAACATTTCCTGTTCGTGAAACATTTTACGACTTCGCAGATTCAGATTTCGATTCGTTAATTGATTTGCTATCAACCACACTTCAACAGGAATATGCTGCGTCATACAAACAAGCATTCCTTACGGTTCTCCATGACTGCTGGACCAACGCGGCCATGGTTAGCATTATTGGAGTCACGATTATTTTTATCGATATATTCGAGTGTTTTCATTGCTTGCGTTACCAAATCCTGGTAGCCACGCCGCTTCAACCGTAGCCCATTGCGTCGGGTATTATGGCTAGATACAACATTGATATTGGTCAGTATTCTCGTTTCATGGTCAGTGATACAACCGGAAGCGCGAGAAATGTTTCGGATCAGTTTGAAGGCACAGATCAGGATGAGTGTTTAATGCATTTACTCAGTCTGTGCTTCCTGTATGCTCTTCGTCTTAAAGAGAACACTCGCGATAATGGCAAGATTATAGTTACACCAGGGGGCGTTTAAAGCTGGATTTGCTGTCATCCAAAAACTACGTAACTTGGCTACATTTTTTTTAATTCGTCTAGCAAAACTAAACCAGCTGAAAGAGCTTTACAACATTCCGACTATCAACATTTCAATTGATCCAAAAACCAGAGTCGGGTACGCGGTAACCCTCCTACGCCGTAGTGTGTACAATTACTTCGCGTTTACGAAGTACTTTGAGACTGCTTCTTCTACGGAGCAAGCAACATGACAGTGCATTACAAGCAACGACTGGGATCTAATTACTGACATGGAAGCTTTAGCGGATCAACTGGCCCAGTTTAGCCTCAGTGAGGTTCAAAAAACAAATGTTGCAAGTTCCTATTTGCTTCTCTTTCGTAAAATGCTTGCGGTGACTGTGGATTTGGAATCGTTCAACTGCTTTGTTCTAGAACGACCTGAATTAAGAACGACAGAGTTTTCACAAAGATGCATCTCGAAGAAGACGAGTGATTTTTGAGATGGCGGAAAACGGTGTCGAGATCGATTAAGGGAGCAACTGTCTCTTCGATTTCCAACGCAAGACATTAACGACAAAGCTATGCTTTTGGGCCCACGGATTAAATCTAAAGCTGCTTATATTGTTTCCGATCCTGATATTCTAGCCTCAGCAGAGATTGAGCTACAATTTGAACACGAGAAAGTGTCAGGATGATGAAGTTGAGCGACAAAAACAACAACGACCAGACAATTAACTTAGCCGGAACAACACATCAAACCTCACAGCGAAGCGCAATTCCAAGCGCAAGACGTTGAAGTTCCTTAAAAAACAGATTACTTAAGGACGGAGCAAAACGACATTCACCAAGAAGCGATAAACGCCTGGATTAAATGGAAAAATCTAGCAGTGAGATGGCTGTGTTCAGTCGAGGATGGAAAATATAACGCGCTGGGCCTGTACCGTGAAGTCCATGTCCTGGCCTGGTTTAGAGATCATGGAGAGCGCGAGCATCCTTCTATCGCAGCACTGGCAAGGGTTTATCTTGTGAAACCGTTGTCAACAGCAATTCAAGAGCGATTTTTCAGTCTTAGTCGGTATGTGGTGAACCCATTGCGAATCCGTCTAGACGAAGATCGAGCAGAAATGCTTTGTCTCATGAAAGCGAACTGGATCGAGTACAAGGCGATGTTGAGCGAGAAATAACACGACGTACCATCTAGGTACTAAAAAAATCATGTTTTTGATAAACTCCTTATTAGAAAAGAAATGCAGGTATTGATATTGTATCATGGTAACCATATCCGTATCACTTAAGCAGGACTCTGGATCAGTATCATGTGATACGTCTTGCAAGAAAACAACATGACGGATCTGTATCACTGATACAGCCAAAATAGCAAAAGCTCCGAACCCCTGCCCTTTTCATGGGTGACACGAGTGGTACTCGAGGATACACCCTCAAAAAGGGGGCATAATGCCCCCATTGACCACGAAAGGGTTAAGTATTTGTAAAACAATGGTATTTTTTATTTAAAACATGTACAATTAAAAAATGGTATAGATAAAAATTAAAAAAATATTAATCTAACGTTTCTGATACAAGTCATGTACTTATATGTAAAATCCAGAGCTTCACCGTGCTAGCACGACATTAAACTTCTTTTCTCATCAATTAATGGAACGGAATCGACTGCAACCTACTGAGTACTTTTAAACAATTTCTATCATCCCCAGGTTGCCCATTGTAATTCATTCACATTGTGTAGTATTACCACTATCATAACCCTCATTGAGAAGTCATGCGTATAACTATACCAACACAGTAAATTCTGTCTAAAAATGTGCAGTGTACTCTACTAATATGTAGCGATAGCTATACACTCAGCGACAAAACGTTTGGGACAGTCACGTTTTGAGCCATTGCTGGGTTTGTAACATATCTAAATAGCACCGTCTAAGTCTACCTTCTGCTGTTTGATAGGGCGACACGAGACTTGTGACACTGACCTAGATTTCAGAGAACTACGGGTGGGTGGCATACAACGATCTGGAAATGTCACCGCGGCAAAGCTTTGGGACAAACGTTTGACTTGATTTCACTATAGTCCTAGTAAGAGATCGCGTCATCGTTCTTGCGCCCGACCTCGAAGCACCTGGTTGACATGCTGTCCATTAGATCAAGTACCCTTTTCATCGTTACTGATTCCCATACCACCATCACCGCAGCAGTAAGCTCAGGCACGGAGCTATATGGTTGTAGACCTTTCGCACCAAAATAGCCCGCACGTTTGTAATTAGGTTGAGATCGGGGGAACGAGCTGGTCAGTCCAGTAGCCGCACCCCGATCTCTTTGATAAATGACTTTATTTCGTCTGAGGCATGAATGGAGGCGTTGTCTTGCCTGAAGACGAAGTCGGTGCCGTAGTTGTGGTGCGCGAACGGGAGCAGATGCTCCGAGATAGTGTAGATGTAGTCCAGGGAGTTCTGGCGCCTCTTCAGTACCACCAGTTCAGACTTCCCCTTGACCACAACCCCCCTCCTTCCGCCCCCCCCCGACACACACACACACACACACACACACACACCATCAGAGACACTCCACCGTTTTAGCGACGCATGCAGCGGCGGGGAGGGCTCCTTAGGTCTCTCCATTAGTTCTTGAACCCATAAGGGCCATCAAGGTTGAACTTCTTTTCGTCGGAAAAGATGATCAACGGCCACATCACCTCCTTCTGTGCCGCTGTTGAAAGCGTCTCGCCAAACGCAAGGCAAGCAGCCCTGTGCTTCTTAGTGAGGGGCAGAGTATGATCCATGTTAGAGTAAGATAGGAAGTCTGTTCGAGACAGAAGTCTCTGCAAGGTACGCACCGAGCACGATAATTTGTACTCTGCCTTCAGCTCAGCTGCAGAGAAATCTCCCGTGGCGGCCGCTCGAACCACCTGACGCACTTGTCGGTCGGAGAGGGTGGATGAACGCCCCCCCTTTCTTCTACCGCTTCCCCGAGCGCTGAGGGGTGTAGTTGACGCCATTCGGGGAGCGCTGCAGACTCTTGGCGATCCCACGAACGCTGCGGCCATCCTCATGGAGGCCGTTCATGCGGCAGCGTTCTTTGTCGGTGATTGGTGGACCTCGCCTCATAGCTAAAGTAGTATAATGGGCCAGTTCCTGGAACACCCCAAGTTCATGTTCATAGTGAAATCAAGTCAATTTTCGGTGCGAAAATTTTGTCGCGGTGACATTTCCAGATCGTTGTATGCCACCCACCCGTAGTTCTCTGAAATCTAGGTTAGTGTCACAAGTCTCGTGTCGCCCTATCAAACAGCAGAAACATATCTAAATAGTACCGTCTAAGTCTACCTACAAGCCCAGCAATGGCTCAAAACGTGACTGTCCCAAACGTTTTGTCGGTGCGTGTACACGTAGGTGCTAGTCTGCTTTACCCAATTCTAATAAGAACACTTCATTGTTTGTAACTTAAGCTTGACTATCAGATCAAAAATGAATTTTTGATTTGGTAGTCAGGAGTGTTTGCACAACTCTTAGTATTGTTAGAATATCACATCAAAGAAAATGTATTCATTATTTTTGTGTCGTAGGAATTACCTACCAAAGCTGATGGTGTAGAACTGTTTTAAATAAGCTGTGTTAATAGAAACTCACGTGCGTGGGTTTCAGCAAAATGATGTTGTGTTCACCTATTGGTTTATCTGTCTCAATAAGTCTAAGGATTCTCGTTTACGGTTAGTTCGAGTGCATTTTGCCAGTAAGAGATGAGACCAATCCAAGTCAATTATCATGATCTAAAACGACCATACTTAGCTAAAACTCATCAGTTCATTCCGCTCGCTCTTGAAGCCACTCCACTGAAACGTAACAAAAATTGTGTGTTCTAACGTTTTTAATGTTATTGCCCCCCTATAATGAAACATAAGACTTTTTACTCGGATTAAACACTTCAACTTTTTACAGACATGCAAGGACAACATTAGAAATAGGGCGAGGGTATACAATTAGAATCAATCACCCTGGGGGCAGTTTTTGACCAAAAATACATGGGTATACTGACCATCAAGGAGTCAGCGGTTAAGTTATCCTAAAATGGACTTGCTGGACGGGCAAGTGACTCTGGACTGGTATAAGCTACCGGGATCGAATCTCTCTGGCTCTCAACTGGAACGTCGGCGAGTTGCTGCGGTTGCTGTCTTGAGAGGTCCTGTGTCGTGGTTCCAAGTAGCGCTAGATGGGTAGTAACTCATCCACTTCTTCTTTGGTACAGAGAGTATATTCGGATGGAGTAGGCTCAAATGAATTGTTGGTTTGAATTACTTGAGTATTCTTGCTCGATGCCTCATTGTCTGCATCAGTAGATTCTCGGCCGTTTGAAGATTCATCTTGACCATCATCTAAACCGTTTTCATGCGGCAAATTCTTCAGCACCATCACTTCAGTCGTTGGTATCACTTCAATTTGCACCAAGATGCTCGTCACTGTTTTCAGCACTATTGCTCTCTTCATAACGGTTTTTGCAGTCCCCATCGTACTTACAGCCAGTTGTACTACGTCCAATACTATATTGGGTAGGAACGTTACTGGAGCTTGAACATTTGCCTTCATTGAGAACGGTTTTCCATACGCGTAAAGTTAGGGGAGAGCTTGTCTAACTTGGCTTTGAATTGACATGGTTTGCCTTAACTCCCTCTTTTGTCATCTGGAGACCCATCTCCGTGCAGCTCTTTGTCAGTGTGGGCTGAAATCGCTTCGTCTTTTAACGTTTGCCACTCTGCCACACGTTCGCTCCAGTGAGCGTCGAAATGTTAGTATTCTTCGTGTGTGCGTTCAAGTACGCCGCCAATTCATTGAGCAACTGCGTCGTCGTCTTCTGGGGTGGGTAGTCTTCTTGCTTGTACCATGAGGTAACAAACAAACAATAGTCTTTTCTAGATAGATGAACCTTGGCGCACGGGCCGTTCTAGTCGTTAATCGCCATTCCTAAGTATCTACCCAGATGCCTTTAGTACCTCGTGTGGAAAGACACAAGACAACATACGTGCTGCAAATAATGTTCTATGGACGACGTGGCGTCGTGGTTTGGGGAACTACTTTTGATGCCGGGTCCCTGCCAGTTCGGGCTGCTACTGAGTGCTGACGGGTACAGAAATACATTCAAGACCGACGGAAATGTCGCCTTGCCGGATCACTTTCTTATTTTTGGAAAGGCGATGTCATCCCTTGGATCACTCACCTCCCAGCGCATTTGATTTTTGAAATGACAGGTCATCTGGCCAAGAAAAAAAATTATCACCAAAATATGATCTGGGTATCGCCACGAAATGATAGGGGAAAACGCTAACTTGAACTTCCCGTATTATGCGTCAATTTGGCGTTTGGAAGGTATCAACTTTATTCAATAGTAATATTTTGGAACAGAGTCGGTGGATCCTAATATGATCATTTGCGATACGAATTCAGGTTTCATTTAGAAATGATTTTAGTGTAGTTTAAACGCCTTCTCGGGTGATTTATCAGGTGTAAAATGTTAAATCGTACTAAGTATCTATCTACTTTGTAGCTACAGACCTCTCTAGTCAAAATAAGCCATTTATTAGTACTTTGATTTGTAACAGAGGCCTATCGGTGACACTAGCCTCCAATGCTGAAAGCAAACCTGTCAAATTGCCGGGGCTATCGGGTAAAGACTAGATCGTCTTTGACTTAGCTGGGAACTTGAAGATCGACAGTTTAAGTACTTTTGACATGTTGCACAAGTCCCAAAACTTCACTTGAGGGGCCAACCGTGGGTGGTAATAGAACGAATCAGATTATAGGAATCATTATAAGCCCCACATGATTCCATTTTCCTGATGTTTTTTCAGAACATACATGGATTCTTGACTTCTGTACATTTTGGAATACCTCGTACGTTGTTCACGGGCCGAATCAGCTTCAAATGAAGCGATGAAATAGATCAAGCGCGTATCTTTACAGACAACCACGGTGAAATACGCCACCCTTTGAACGCCATCCTTCATAGTAGTCCATTTCTTGTGCCAATGACAGGATAAGCCGCCACATACAATTCAATGATATGGAATTTTAAGTCTCCCAAGGCCGCTGATGTTGCAATAGCTTTACGACAGTATGAAAGGGCAGATGTAACGTCAGGAGTACTTTTCTATGTTCTCGAAGCTATCAGTCAATGGAAATTCCTTTCTTATTGGCTAAAACTTTAACTGATGCAAATCTTGTGCTTTGAACTTCAAGTGTTCATGGCGGATATGTGTAGTATGGCTGTTTTCACCGTCATTGTCTGCAGGGATGCTGGGCTCAAGATAAAAAAAAATACTTGTAATCCCAATTTGCCTCTTCCAACCATTTTGCTAGTGCGGTGACTCTGCAGCAAGTTCAAGTAAACAATACTTTGATGTAGCCTTGTATGATATTTCAGTGTCAATGCTTGCTTTGCAGCTTCAACGGCTCGTGATGCGATACAATCTGTAAGGGTCAAACTGGGTCAAACTGACGGAAACAAATGCAATGATGAGCGGATTTGGCACAATATTTATCTGTTAGCTTTTCTCTGGGTACTTCGTCTCTTTCAAGCTAATTTATAGGAGGGGTTGTCATGGTTGCAATATATGAATGCTTGACCAGTCAATCAAATCCTCACTTTTTAACTGTGAGTGCCCCAGGGAGTACAGGAAAGTGCATTGTTGCACTCCTATTGGCTGATGTTTGAATGACACAGAGGTCTGGACTCCAGACTCTGGAAGCCTTCTCTTCCCCTGTTATGTTTGAGTACATGTAGCCATTTACCCAGTAGTTTAGTGATTCAGGTATTATGGCCCTTGGGTAAGGCATCATGTTAGTGACACGATTTCTTTGCTCCAGTGTGGCCCTTCGATGCCGCCAATATACATATGATACATATTGGCGCTTTACAAGAGGGATTTCTTTGCGGCAATTAAACCTTCTAACGTTCTTTCAATCAATCATTTCAAACCTGCAAGTCAGAACCCAACTTTCCTGATTATGTTGGAAGGTTTCACTTGAACAGGACAAGGCAGGTGGGTTTGATCTATTTAGTTGCTGCAACCTACCTTCTAGACGTTACGAGTCCTATTGTTTAATTCGGTGATGTTACCAATATGATGAACTAACCTATATTTTAAGAACCTCTTGGAACAACTCCCATCCAAGATAAACATTATTAATCCCAAATTGGCTTTTAATCGGGGTTGTTCTTTGTCGTAATTATGAATTTGAATCATACTTAAACCAACTAAGAGTAAACTCTCCCCCTCTCTCCCATTTAGACACTCTCCCTATATTACGAACTTGCCAATGCTGATGTACTCTGCTGCCTACAGGTTACGCGCGGTGACACTACATGAGGCATCCGCTGTGTTATGGGAAGTTGTGAGGCGTGTGTTATGAGTACCTTAACATGGTGTCCGTCATGGTATGCGTAGCTTAAAGAAACTGTCCACGTACTACCGAAGGAAAAAGAAGCGCGTCCGATGTACCCTGCGGCTGTCATATCGTTTATGGCTTCCTAAGCTAAAGATCATTCCTTCTTCTACGTGGAAGAGCTGCTTCCAGAGGTGAAACGACGCTTCCTGAGCAGCGGTGACGTCATTCGTCGACCTACCTACTTCGCCTGCTCCGCTTCGAGCTGTATCTCTCAAGAAAGGTATTAGAGCGCCGTATAAGAGTGTCATTTGAGATGGACTCCTACCTAGCCAGGTTGCGAACGGAAGGGATGAGGGTTGGGTGGGTGGATTTGTCGAGCGAAGCGAGAATAAATCAGATTTAATGAATTGCTTTAGCCTAAAACTAGGGAGTTCATGCGCTAATTGTTGATGTGGCCGACGTCCGCGATATTCTCGTCTGGCTCAGGTGGAGGAACAACTGACGCAAAGACTCCACTTGCCAGAAGATTGCGGTTGGATAGTCCAACAACGCGGTTGAACTCTAGTATCTTGATTGGTAGTGATATCTCACGTGATCCGTTAATTTACACTTCCACTGTGCTGTAGATGATTTCCTCTTAATCCTTTGCATCGGCGGGCATGGCGTCGAGTCGCTGGGCCTAAGAGAATGTGTCTGAACCAGCCACTGCGATAACAGTTCCCTTGGACTGACGGGCATGTGAGATCGATGAATGTGTCAGCGACGTAAGTCACCTACTTAGAGCGCTGGTCGCTACTCCAAATAGCTGTCGATTGTAGATGCTGCTTCTTGGACCGTGGAGGCTGTAGCACGTCTTTTTTTCGTGTAGGGTACGTCGCTCTTTCTTCGCTGGTAACACAATACTTCCATCTCAAAAGAATCGGAGTCCTTCGTTCCCCTCTGATAAAAGAGGGGCAACGTTTTCTGCTGACAGTGTTAATCTCGCTGTCTGGCTTGGTTTGGTGTAGATGCTTGTCTCTGGTCTAAATAGCCTCTTACGGTAGCTGGGCATGCTTTCGCCAACCCTCTCTTCAAAACACTTCACCGTTATCTTTGTCGCAACTAAACGAGAATAGTGGCCCTCTCACGGGAACGTCTACCCTGCTTGTCCGGGTAATTTTTTCAATCTTCACCCGTACACGAACTGGATCGGGACCGGGTGCTAGTATGCTGTGTCTGGATGAATGTCGTTTGCAAAGCGGGCATTCTCCCCAAATGACTGCTTATTATTGCTGTTACTCTAAATAAGTCTGATAAAAAATTAGCATAAATCGGAATATCCAGAAGTTCCTTTAACACATTGCGTCCGGACGGTACTTGCCCAGAACGCGTAAGCGCATGTCGTAAGATACGCCATATCGTTGTTACTTCGTATTTGTATGTGTGTACTATTTGACATGAGGTTAGGTGCATTAATTTTCAACAGGTTTTCTTTTCAATGTCGTAACTCATACGGCCTTGATCAGCTATGTCGCCATCTCAATGTCATTACTGACAGCATGTGCAGTCAACAGATGGCTGATTTGCTTCACAGATAGTCCAGTCAAATCAAGAAACGCAAGGAAGAAGGTACGATGATTCAAGAAACTGCGTAATTGAGCAAATCACTAATCAACTGACACGCAGACCAGGATGACTCCTCATCGCTACCATTCTCATTGTCGCCGCCGTTGCCATCGTCACTGCCGCCATCGCGTACAAGCCGAAGTTCCCGCCGTGTCTTCTTTCTTTAACCAGCTTTCTGGCCAGGGCGGCGGAGAACGATGCGCTTCCCCAAGTTTGATGGAATAGCTTGGCCAGCGTCGAAATCATCATGCCAGATGTCGAAGCATGTCTTCGCAACACCCGTGTATTCCCGTCGAATCCGGCTGCACAACTAACACTTGGCATTATCTACAGAGCAGCGTTCGCAGAAGAACGTTGTTGCGAAGGACTTCTTCTTTTCAGTGCGCAAAAGAGCGCAGACCTTGCACGATCTCTGCCGGCGCTTCTGGACCCCAGTGTCAGTGACCCAGTCCTCAGATTGTTGGAGCGTGTGCGTGAGGCGAACTGGAGTGCGCCGACATTTCTGATTCGCTGGAGGCGGCGTTGCCTCCACGCCAGCAAAATCTTCAGCTTTGAGTTGGAGAAGCTGGTTTTGGAGAACGCAAAACCACTCTGAGCGTTTCATGGCCACCGCACCCTTGATCTTGGCCCCCTCCTTGTGCGTAAGATACGCATTTACCATGACCATGTCCATCAAGCCTAAGAACAGGCTCTTATAATACTTCGTAAACCTCGTCGACATTTGCACGGAATATGACTGGAGCCGGAGTTGATCGTGGACATCAACTCCGCTCATCCAGTTCTGGTAGTCATTCACAGCAGAGGGGCACTGCACCCGAACAGCACCAATACGCTTTATCTTTCGATCAACTGATGACGCCGCCATAACGGACCCCGTACAGAGATAATGTACGGGCTTTCGGTCCCACCAAACGCAGGAAATCATGGTTGGGATCGCGACAGAGCGAGAGAACGAGAATGTGCCGTGGGGTATGCTCGCTGGGCGTATATTGCTTGTGGCCCTGATATCCTTGTTAAATCCGAGCCGGTTAGTCATGATCGTGCCAATAACATACACCTTCAAACTCAGGAGCTCGATCGCAAGGGGCACGGACGAGTAGTAGCGATCGATCGCGACGGTATGCCACATGTGACGAGCCTGAGCGAGAACAACCTTCAAGTTGCGTACCACGGCTGCAGCTCCAGTTTTATAGTCAACTGAGGTGTCAGGTCCACCAGCAGATGCACGCTTACCCACGTAAACTTCAAACCTAGAAAGTTACGCCATTCAAAGTTGTCAGACAGGATCAAAGTAGATAGTTACGACATAGAACCTTTTTTTTTTTAAAAAAAGGTACCTGTGGCAGTATGCCGTCTTTGCGTCACAGACCATAAAGAGTTTGGACCGTAGCGATGAGGCTTGTCGGCCATGAACATCCGGGTCGTGTTCCGCTTCGACGTGGCCGGAAGCACATCCTCATCAAACGAGAAAATAGCAGGAAGAGACCACCCCATCAGAAAGCGCTCTTGAATCTTGTCAACAACGGGGCGCAGTTTCCAGAGTTTGTCGTTGCCATGGTCAATCGTGTTATCTACGAAGTGCAGGTCTCGCATAATGTCGTGGCACCTGTCAAGTCTCATGAACCGCCCGAAAAGACCGGCGGTAACAGCTCCGTCTTCTACCATCGACCAGTGCGCGCCGAAGCGCCTCTTCTGAGGGCAGAGCATTCGTGCAACGAGCAGGCCAACGACGTGAAGAATCTCGTGGGTAGCGTACGCTGATTTAGCCTTCAAACGACGCGTAATCTGTATAACGGTTTCACGCCGACGGTCACTCTGCCGCTCCTGAATCTTGCTGGCGCGCTTGCCAACTTGCAGTAGGCCATAGCGATTCGTCTCCGCCGCGATCGAAACCAACATAGACTTCGGCATTAAATAGAAGAAGATGAGGATTGGCGACCTCCATACATTCAATAGGTCGACCACAGGTCTGGCTTCTTCAGTGCCCAGTCCAGGATACGCAGAAGCGCCCACTTCGTACTCTGAAGACACTGGCGTCCACTGCATGGATCGTAGAGTCTACGCTCTATCCGCTGCAGCGGTTCTGCTAAGTGCGTTGTTACCCACCTGTAGCGATGCAATGAAAGCCTGGTCCATTTCAACTGCGTCACTGTCGGACAGGACATCGTCATCTTCCATGGTTACCTCGGCTCCGGGATCGCTGCCCCATCACTCATGCCATCGTCGCCGCTATCACCCGAGCTGTAGTTCTCGTAGTCACTTGGCTTCTCACCATCCAGCAAAACGTTCACATCATCTTTGCTTGGGAACGGCGTTCGTGTTCGTCGCCGAGGCTCAGACACAGCGGCCTCATCGAGGACCATATCACCCTCGCTCTCCAATCCAGAAGCCTCCGAAAGTAATGAAGCCCAGCAGCAGCATCGCGCGCACCACCATCTTCTAGATCTCCTGGAGACAGATTGAATGCTTTGCTCACTGCCGTCTGCGATAGCTCGATGTCATCATCACTTGGCGGGCCGAACATGTGATCAATGGTATTCTGCGATAAATGGACGCTCGTGTCGATTTGGGAAGGCCGAACGATGTCTTCACCCTCGTGTTATTGCTCTTCATCACTATTAGCGACTCGTGCTTGGTCTAGTTCCCCACCTCCTTCTTCTCGGACTTGTGTGTCAGTATCTGCCTCTTCCAGCAAGCCAGTCTTGAACGCGTACTCCACAACTGATTTCTCCCCCATCAACACGTGCGCGTTGTTAGGACTTGAGTAGCTCCACTCTGTCTGGAGCCCCCTCGAACGCTTGGACTTCCACCCCGCCGCCCGAAGCCGCCGCCATAAATGGCCAAAGTCAATGTCGTGTGCAGCGGCAGCCGGTACGGCGGGTTTCTCGCGTCGACTTCTCCGTATGCGCGCCATCCAGCAAAATGTCGAATGAATGGCTCTTGAATATCCACCCACGGCCAGGCTGATCCCCTTCCCCTGGCCTGGTTTTGTTTTGTAGCAAATTTTATTTTTCTGTTGACTTGATTAAAGTATTGAAAATGCTTTTCTGAGCCATTTGCTAATGATCTTCGCTCAATGTCGTATTATACGACATAACTAAAATTATATGTCGTATTATACGACGTTCGGAACCAAGGTGTTAAATGTGATGACCAATATATAATAATGCTAAATCGATGTACAAAACGGCCGATTTAGAAAGGATGTAGGTAAAGCCGCTAGTTTTTTTTTTACAATAAAGCAAACTTCCTTAAATCCGGCACTTCCCATTATTTTCCCGCCGGAAATAAAGTTTTTGGATGTGCCGGAATTAACCGACCCTTCATAATCAAGAAGCCATCGAAGAAAGATGAGGCTTCAGAAACTGAGCGTCTCTACCAAGCCTCCATCGCGCAAGACACCCTTCCCGTCAGTCCACGTGCTATAATATGGATTCTGTTGTCTACAGTCTACAAATTAAGACCCTTCTTCGATTGGGTTATCAACAGTGTTTTATTGATAGTGGTTTATCTTATAATGACTGTTAGTTATCTTCGTAGACGGCGGGGCATCTCGAGCTCGTTGTGTAATCGAGCGCAGTGAGTTCCTTTCGATTACTGTACGTGCGAAGGCTGCTTACCTACTAATTTCGTCCTCAGCACCACCCGATACCCCATCATGTATCTACAGGAAGATTTTTCTTCTTCTTCTTTTTTTTATCTGCAAACGGATACCGCTAAGGTACACCGTTTGGAAGTAGTGTATGTTTGAAGCGAAATTCTAATCCCCACTTCAGCGCCTTTACTTACGGAAGTTTAGGGTAACTTAAGCCGTCGACAACATAACACTAATGCGATAATGTGCCTCGAAAGATGGAAGGCACCTGGTGGTCCATCAGCTCATAAAACGATATCCTATCTATCGTGAACAATACGCGATAATGCATCTTGAATTCAAAAGTGGCTGGCAAAAACTTGCCTCACGTTTTATTCACCCAGTTATGTCTTTGGATTCTGGTCAACTAGATAACCAACGTTTCGATTTCAAAAATCTAATCGAAAATGCCTCTATTGAGACTTGGGTATTTTGCCTATTGCCACCAGGTAGTCGGTATACTGATCCACTGCCAAAGCTCTGAATTTATCGTCAAGTTTTTCGTACCCTTGCAGTATCTTGGCCAGATCGTCAGGTAGCATACCTGTGTTGGCAGCTCTCTTGAATACTACCGTCATTTTGGCATCTGCTGCTACCAGAAGGTCATCGAGCATCGTATCAGTGTGGTGGATGTCCTGGAGGGCCGAAAAAGACTTCGTTTTCAAAAATAACTGGTTGACAAGTTTCTGAGCTTCCGAAATCACTCGCTCTTCGTTTTCATCTTCGGTGATCTTGTCGCCTCGCAGGAATCGGGACTGGTGGCTGATACTTTGGTCAGCATCAGCGAGGTACAGAAATCCAAACGACATTACCGCAGTTAGCGCAACGTCATTGCCGGCTGCAGCGACAATGTCATGATGGGCATAGAGGATAGAGGCAGCAACGACTAGGATGTAGCTGAGGCGCATTATAAGTTTCCGGGTGTTCTTGGTTACTCTTGGTGCAGATGCTGTGTCCTGTAAAGCAAATTTCCGAGTGAGGACTGAAGGACGATCGACGCAAAGCAACACACAGGTCAAACTCGTTTCTGTAATTCCTAGAACAGGCGTGTTTGTGGAACAGCAGTTTTGGACTCACCTCTGCATTTCAACGAGTTTGATGATGTGTAAAACAAAAAAAGTCTTATTGATCTGGTCTCTTCTGTTACTCATATATGATTCTGACAGCACATTTATTTTTTACCCTTCTTTTTTTTCCCTGTTGTGCTTCATTGCGACAATTCTAGCCGATGTTGCTGTCTATATAACAAACTGGTACGAACAGATCCTGATCCGAGTGCTAATTTAAGGAAAGACACTGTGCACATGAGGCAGAAACACTCTAAAACCTAATCCACTCGAGATATTGACGACTACAAATTATGCGATGAACCGTTAATATCGGTATACTTCTATATAAAATAAGATTGTCTGATTTTCTGTTATAGATTTTTATCTGTCCAGTGTTTGCTGACCTGGGCAATGTGATCAACTTGTTTCGGTAGTACTATTGTGTAAACAGCACTTCGATGTGATTAAACTACTATCTGGTAGCTACTGGTTTTGGATTCACTGGCGGCAAAGCAACAGAAAAACGCGAGAACTGCGATTTTCCATAAACAACTACGTGGTATCCATATGCCATTTGTGTGTTATATGGGTTACCTAAGTGCCCAGAAAATACAGAATATTCAGCGGCATATGAAGAGATTACTTTTGTTTTTCAAATATGCACACATAGTAAAGCGGAATCGTAATTTCCAGGATAGTTATCATCAGTTACGTGGAAAGAGAAGGAAAAAAAACTAACATCAAACATAGCAACATACGAGAGCTAAATCTTTTTTTTTTTTTTTTGCAACCTTGAAGAATTAGGATAAATTCGTTCATAATCCATTATAAAATTTTAAGCTTCAGTATTCTACTTTAGTAAACTCCCGTATATGAACTCACATACATATGTTGATGCACAAACTGAGTCAAACCGTGTCCAGATGTGGACTGCTGAGGTCGTGTAGCAGGGCACACGACCTAAGAATATGGGTCGTGTGTCTGCATAACCTATTCTACGTTCACGGCCACACCGGGGTCTTATATGTTTACGCGATGATGCATTTTCTGATAAGAGTTGCTCTCTTCATGCATTGTGCTTTGCATAAACTTATGAAAAGTCAGCAAATCATATTTTACAACGATACTCCAATGACTGCTGGATACCAATATGACGTACCGCATCGCCTCTGTCCTAAGCGAAGTTTTCTCCTAAGCGAACCCAGATTACGACCAATGCCAGAGCTGCATCTTAAACAGATGGCGGCAGGTAAAATGCCATACCAGCGAACTTATTATAGACTGATGCCAAGCCTGGCACGAAGAGGAACAGTGGGAGCGGATAATACACCAGAGAAATACCAGAGCCGTTCACCCTGGGTGAGAACAATTGACATAATTGCCAACTATGCCAACTATGCCAACTGCTCTCTCCTGGAATTATTGGATGCGGGCATACAAGAAGCGCACAATCATTCGCGAGCTACTGGATCAGCTACATTAAATAAATCTAGGACAGCCAATAATGACGATACATGTATGCCTACTAGCCCAGACGACGATCCACTTTACATGAAGCACCACCTTGTTCTGCCAGCTCAAATGGAATGAGCAACTGTTTCGATTCCGATCCCGATCCCGATACTATCCATATCATTTAGCGTTGGAATAATTCTTACTTTTTAGCGTCTAATTCTGAGATTTGCTAGTAATCCTATGCGTAAACACGTAATATGGGTGTTCGCTTAGGACAGGGGGCGATGCGGTAGTTGTGTATGGATAATCGCCAATTATGAGTTGATTTGACTCTTGACCCCATTGAAGCCACCATGCGATTTAGTTACAGGAAACATTAATTACACGATAGTACTCCCTCAAGCATGTTTGACTAAGTTGCGCCGCCCAGAAAAACTATGGAGAGGTAAAACCAAATCTGGTACTATATTGATACACCTACGTTTACGGCCACACCAAGGACTGGTATGTTTATCGATGATGATGACCTCGGCGATGTCAGCAAATATGATGCATATGTGTGGTTGGTTTGATGTTACATAAATATCTTGATACTTCTAATACTAAGTATCATATATAAGTAGAAGAAGGAGAAACAGGTGCGTCCATAAAAGAGATAGTGGCGAATCTCATTTTCTGGCACTTCCTGCCCTTTCTCCAAACCGGTTATGAAGTTGGCCGAAGCGTGTATGGTTGTCACAGTTGGAATGATTGAATATTTGACGACCGCAACGAAATCACTTTCGTAACCAAAAATATTTATCATACATGTAGCGCGCGACACTCGCTATCGTGGTTTCACACTGGAGCAAGGAAAGCATACCACAGTAGAATGCATGATGCCTAACGCAGTCGCTACCAAATGTCATGGCAACTGCATCGCTAACTACTGGGTAAATGACTGCATGTACTCAAACATAACTGGGGGAGAGAAGGCCTCCAGAGTCTGGAGTCCAGACCTCAGTGCCATTCAAGCAATTTTCCTGTTTGGGGGGCACGGTTCGACTTGAAAAGGACGGGGCAGGTAGGTTTGATTTGATTTGATTGGCTGCTGAAACCTACCTTCTAACTGTGGCAACCCCTATTAATAGTATAGCGAAATAGCTTTCGAGATAGAAAATGCTAGGGGGTACATGTATTTCGTAAAGATAGTTGAAACTACTACGACCCACACGTATATTGCCGGATACCATTACTGAGTTCGTCTATGACGGGTGATCTTGTGCTCGATTTTATTCTGGCGGAATGATTTCCTTTCGCGTTATGTACTTGAGGAGGCAGTTTAGTTAGCAATCCGCCTTGGCAAAGCACACCGGTCATCTCTGCGCGTACCTACACAACGAAGCCACCTCTATATTGATCTGCAAACGATATCACTCAAGTAAACCTATTTGAAGATGTGCGTTGTTAAAACGACATTCTGATTCTCGGTTTCAGTCCGTATCAGATGCGGTTCGACACATCCAATCTTTATATACGGCATTAATGCAATAATCGTGACTACCGTTTCATGGACGTGATGGAGTTGTGTGTATATAGGAACTCATTGCACAGCGTGCTTACTTGGCTAGAAGGACAACAGAAATCCTCTGAATTCGGGGGTCCTATAGTGACGGAGCGGCTCAACTCGCTTTTTTTTTTTTTTTTGAAATATGATTTAACGTAGAAATAGAGTGCGTCTCGGGCAAAATAACGCATCATTTACTCTCCCTTCCATACAAAAACCAATATATTACGATCTGTAGAACAGAAGAAGTGACAAACTTCTGAGAAGGTTGGACTGTAAACAAGTTTATGACAGTTGAGAGCACTACCGATATTCCGGAAGTTATTCCGTAAAAAAAATATCACAGACAAGACTGTCGCGTTAACAAAGAGCAGATGGGTACCTGAAAGTCGCAAAGCGGACGACACAGCGGCCAACGAAGTTGCCATAAGAAATCATAACGTCAAGAGCATGTAAATCAACATAATGAGATAAGCCCCGATAGCATGTTAACGAATAAAAACAGACCTCAGTACGAATCCTCGACAACAAGGAAACATCACGTGGACGGCTTACACAATGGATTGAAAGGATAGATCATCCCTGGGAAAAGTGACCTCGGAGGTTAATGGTTACCAGAAGCGTGTGGGACTTGAATACGATAAGGTCAGTAAGAAGGTGCAGCAGATGATGGAGTCGAGCGACAATCTACACGTCTACAACAGCGCATGAGCTTGCTAGGCATCAACTCTTCAATACAACGATTTCGAAGATGACAGCACATTACTCATGAGATGTTTTGTAATAAAGTAACTTCGCACCTTAGATTTCCACCAAGACGCTGCTCACACCGAAATCCATAAATATTATACTGGGAATACCTCAGAATGAGAAATGGACAGCCCAAACAGGATTAATTGCGTGAGTGTAACGTAAATGGGTCAACGTTCGGACAACATCCAAAATATCGTACTTAGTATGTGATTAAAAGTTCTAAGAACATGTATTCCCAGTGTAAGTCGCAGACGATCTAGTTGACAAGGTATTTATCGCCTTCTAAACCAACGTTGAAACAAGCATTAAAAATGGTAACGAAGGAATTTTTTTTTGATATAATTAAGGGCGTGTTCGCGATGAACGTCGTTCTTACTTCTTGAGGAGCATTGCTGCGGCAACGTCGTAGCGCCGGTGTTGACGCCCTGCTGAAGCACAAGATGCACCCAGTGTGCCGAAAACGATGGACGAGTTGCTACGGGTGCTGATTATCGTCATGTGTATCTCTCTGCTATCCGTTCGCGCTCTAAGCGCAGGATAGAGCATGAGAAGACTTTCAGGCTTCTGGGGCTATCTGCATCTGACGGACTACGCTTTTTCGAGGCAATACACGCATCAACCAATCGACGTTTGTTTCGCGACCACTTTCGAATGGATGTTGCCGCGTTTAACGAGCTGTTTGAACGTTGTTGCTGTACAGGCTTTGTAGCTATTAGATTCTTCCACACTTCATCAGAAAAAGTGGGCTTCCCTGCCGTTGGGCAAACTCCCACACCGCTCAACGCCTTCATTTCCTTGAACAAATCGTAGTCGCGCATAATCCGATCCTTTTTTGCCTTGTACTGACCTACAATTATCACGTTCAGTACCTGAGCTTAAAAAGAAGTTCTATGTTACCTTTGTCTAATGAGCGCTTGTGTTTGGCGTTCAGAGCGTCCGTCAGGGTGCGCCATCTTTGGTCATGAGACCTTTGTCGGTTGTAAGGGAAGCATCCTTACATACTTCACAGTAAATATCCAGCAAGTCAAACTCTTCGTGAACTGCCCACGTTGCGCGCTGCTGACTTGCGGTTGTGGGGTCGTAGATGACCTGCTGGTGTGTGTTGGCTTCTTCTTGGACTTAGTCTGCTTCTTTGACGACTTTGTGATCTTCCGAGTAATGTTGAGTTTGCTCTCTGATCCGTCCGAAACGAAAGTGGCACCCACTCCAGATCATGTCACTATAAAAAAAGGAAACCCCTTGTTGTCAGCACAGACAAAAATTGGAACATCGACAGATGCCATTTTCATTCTTTGGAAATCAGGTGTCAACCTGATTTAACATCGTTCCGCATCTGAAGTATCCTTTCGCGATTTTTGTGTTCGCGACTCGGATTTTGGATCAAAACGACGTTTTCCCTCCCAGAACTATGTTTTCCTGTCATCACGAACACGCCCTAATTATTTAGCCGATTGCGTACCTTATGGTTGCTTAAGAAACATGTATGTCATATATTTAGAGATGGGATAAATTCACATCCCAAAATATTCTTCTTGGTGTGCACCATATACGCATCAGCAGCGCAATAGGTGTACCGCGAACAGGATGGTTAATGGCGAATATAATGCATAGCAAGAGCGGTGTTCATGGAGATGAATAACGCTTTAGACGACGGGATTCGCCGCAGTGATGGTCTGCATCTACCAACCTCGTTGTGCAGAATGTTCAAAATTAAAGCTTCCTCGTAACCACAGACGCTGCTTCAAACTACTTCCGGAGCTCGCGATCACGTTTTGATTTGGAAAGCGGCAAGTGAACCTCCATGTACGATCCACATATTTGTTCGCAAGTGTAACCTGCTTTTTTTGTGATCAATTTCTTCTGACTGGGAGCTGTGGTTGCCGTATTGCTTACCGCATGGGCCACATCTCGTGGTTTCGGGCTTTCAACTAAAGACTCGACAAGTAAAATATATCACATTTGTTGATGGCAAAAAACTACATGAATTGTCGTACTATAGTGGCGACTCTTAAAGCGTACCTCATTGAGCTTGTTAATATATCGCTGGATCATTTCATCGGTATGTTCCATGTAACCGAACCTACGTATCAGTTGTGCAGGTTCCTTCTTCTCAGCTACCCATTTGCCAATCAGCGCATTCTACAACTGCGTGGCCGATTTCTCCGTGCTGGGATCTTTCTTGGCAGCATTAAGAATCGGCAGTAGGTTTATGTCGTAGTAATTTGATCGAATTCCGTCAATCACCGCCGTTTTTAGGTCCGGATACCTGTGATTGAAGTCATTCAGATACTCTACCCATTCTTTGTATTTTGGGCTGGTTAGGGTCTTTTATCCGGCTTCGTTGCAAGTACTTAAAGACCACGCTGGGTGTTTTTCCCATTTCTATCCATTCCATAAGCCTCGGGCGCTCCACCTGCTTGGCTACTCCCACGGTGCTTGATACTTGCATTCCATTCTCGATCACGCTTCCACACCAAACCATCCATGCGCTATCCGAAGCGGTTTAACCAAGATTCTTGATGATTCGGGTTCTTCTCGTTGAAATCGTTTACGTAATTCTTCCACCTTTGTAACAAGGGGCTGATGAGAACGTTGTCTTCCACACCATCAAGTCCTAACAGCTCCAACGTATCTTTGGGGGAATTGCTAAGGAGCACCCTGACGGGAGCACCAGAGCAGAAAAAGCCCGAGCACATGGCATTAGTGTCATACCAAAGATCGAAAGACACTTCAATCATCGAGTTTATAAAGAAAAAAAAACATTGTCATGTGAATTATTTATGACAAAACAAAAGAGAACGAAAAAAATATTTTTTTTAGAATCCTTTTACAGGAAATGCATTGGTACATGTATGTATATAGCTTGTGGGTGAGTTCAGTCCAGCATAACCCCAAGACCGTGGAGACAAGAAAGTGGGCTCGGACTCAGCAGTGTCTTCACTCGTGAGAAGGTCGGTAAACGAGAAAGGTCGAGACGCATTTGCATTTTGCGTCCCAAGGCTCTGTTCAATGAGCTCAAACCCTGATGGCTCACGACGCGTGCTATTTTACCGTACCCATCCCGATGGATACGTGTACGATCCTGATGCTGTCGTCTTGATCTAACAGCTGGGTCATCGACCCTTGGATGGAAGATTGATCGAGCCGTAGGTAGCCACCAATGACGATCAAAGTGCTCTGGTGTCGATTTGAGTGAGTCATTTGACTCAATAATATCCATGAGCTCATGAAGGCAGGGACGGCCATGAATTTTTCGAAAGGTTCCGTCGCAGTCACTTCTAGCAACGTTGTGAACAACAATTGCATGAGCCTTCTTCCACAATTTGTTAGTCTCTTGTATGTCCCACACGGTGATAATCTTCACCAGGTTTGAATAGTTTTTGTCGCCGCGAACAATAGTTGGAATGTTGCGAGCGTCATTAGCGTCCTTGTATTTGTTCATTGAAGCCTGCCTCATCCACCAAGGTAAGAGATCCTGAAAAACACGTAACAAATCACCTCTGGACTTATTTAAGCAGCGCTTCATCGTTGCGTGTGTTCCTTCAACAGTAGAGGTGTCCCTGCAGCCAAAATGACTTTAATTATTCGTCCAAAAGCTGACAAACTCTCTTTATATGGCCACAATTTATCTCTAGATAGTTGCACATGTCCGGACTCAAACGTCGAAGTTCAGCACATCCTTCATCAAAGTTGTGACGTGAAGCAGCTGAAACAGTTGAATCAAACTTCGCCATGAAAATATCTACCGCCAAATTGTCCTGATTCATACCAATTTTTTTTTACCTGAGCATGGACATTACGTCGGATATGCCAGAGGTACAACAGCTTGTCGGAGTCGGGAAACACGGTTTCGGTGGCATTTGTACATGCCAGGTCGCGGTCCATGACGATAACTCTAGGTAAGGGGATGTGATTCTGCTCCAATAGGGTCTTGAGCTGCACGAAGGCCCACTCAAAATCGGGCTCGGCCTAGTGAAGTCGATTAGTATCAGGGTCCGTCTCGAACGAAAAAAGAAAACCTTTACTGTCCGACATTTCGAATAATGCTTCGTTGCTCGTCTTCGTTGCCAAAAAGTTCAGATCTGGCAGCATTCTTAGCGTTTGATATGTCCTTCGGGATAACGAAGGTGTTGGGGTCGTTTAAGAGCTTGGTAGCATGAATTTGTGACGTAGAAACGCCAGCTTGAGTCTGTAGACGGATGAGATTGGACTTCGTCATCCCTGCAACCGTTGCCTGTCTTGCTACCCGCTGGCGATGGGTGACATGAAGACGTATGTCATCAGAAGCTGCATGGTTATGCATTTTGCTTCCGCCCTTGGTGTGGACAATTCTCCATGATCCTGCAGCATTGGTTGCGTATGTTGCAACAATACTGATCCGCATTGGGCAACCAGACCGTTTAGTCCGGCGTAGAGGCCGCTTTCGATCTGAGTCGGCTATCTTCCGCGTATTTTTTGGCTTCCCCATTTGATCACATCCAAAACGTCTGTAGCGAACGTCGCCCTTGTCATTTCTTTTTATCTGCAGCCTCGTTTCATTGAAGTTGTGTCCTTTAGTCCAGCGATGAATTGCGGCTTCAGCTTCTTGTTGCCTGGGGAACTCTACTTCAGGTGGCGCCTCCAGATTAAACAGCGTGGGCAAGTTGAGGGCTATGATCAGTTGCTGGGTGAACGATGAATAAGCAAAGTTGTGTGCAAATAGCTATTAGTTGAAATAGTCTTCGGCTTCTTATCGAAAGATATTTATAAATGCCAACGTTTCTTTCCGATTTCTGTAAGAGTATCTTCTGTGAATTCAGTATGATTTTGGTGCATTAAGAACGGTTTTGGAGAAAATAAAAATATATTTTGAAATGTAAGATCAAGTTTTGCTAGAAGTAAGAATCCTTACGGTGCCCCGTAATGTAAAACTAGAAAGTGTGTACAGTAGTTTCGTGAACAAACTAGAATTTTGGTTATGACTTTTTTTTTGCGATTTAGGTAAAACAAAAACAAATATGAAAAAGACTTTTTTTTATAAACGCTTCAAGACGGGCAGCTGGCTACGTATTCATATCTACGGTTGCATCCTGCCTAAAAAAAGTAGACGAAGACGCTCCGATAAATTGGCTGATATCATTTCTGGGTTTTCTGGAATTTTGCTGAGAAGAACGTCAAGAACCTTGCTAGTGGACATGCTAGCAAGCGAAATGTTCCACTTGCGGCGAATATAGTATGTATTGTTTTCAATCTTGCGTCGTTCCTTTTTATCATTGGCGCGCTTCGCGTTTGACCGTTTATCACACTTCTTCTTCTTCTTCTTCAGATGGCGCTTCATTGAGTAGCAGTTCGCGAAGACTCGCGTGCACTTTGGACAGCGCTTGGCTGCAATATTCTTCTTAGCTCCAACCTTCTTCTCTGCTGCAGCCTTCTTCCACGGAACCATGATTAGAAGAGAATTTGAAAGTGCTTGAACACACGGTGAATCTAATTTTTTGATTGACAGAATTAGATGCAGTAAATGATTGAAGTCGATAGATTTTTTGTAAAGCGTTGAAATATCTTTGCCAAAGACTTTTGGATCTTTGGTGTGGCACTAATGCAATATGCTCGACTTTTCTTCTCGGGTGCTCCTGAGCAATTCTCATCTTTGGGGGAATTCCCACTAGTGAAAATTTTGTGGATCGACTTCGTCTCCAGTTTGATAGCAGCGTCTTTCATGGTCGAGTTCGTCTTCACCATTTGGAGGATTTGCAGCAAACGTCTGTCGCTGAGGCGAGTTTCCAAGTTTGCGAACAGTGCTGGAGTCTTAATGGGGTCATTCGTGACGATAGCATTCGTGTACGAGACCCACGTGTTGCCAAGTGGGTTGTGGGAGAAGTCGCTGGCTGTGTAATGAAGCTTCAGCGAGTTGAACACGTCGTCAGCAGATTTCCCGTTGTTTAGCCACATTTCAAGCTGCGCTACCTGCAGATTCTTGGCGATATCCTTTGTTACATCTTCAAAACTTGCTCTAATAAGTTTCTTCGCCAACTTTTCATCTCCGAGTTCCAGGGTGAACTTTTCAAACACTGCTGTTTTCTTGTCCGGATATTTGGAAACGTAAACATTTAGATACTTGAGAAGTACTCGGATGACTGGGGCTCCGTAGAGTGTTTGCCGTAGGAAAGTGTAGGTCCCTTGTAGAATGTAGGTTTTGTGCAGGTGAACCGGAGTAGGTGTTGGTCTCGAGTCTTGGGGGGGGGGGTATATTTAAGAGTGAATTCCTACTTCCTAATGCATGAATTCATGTGCGCCTAGGCGAGCACAGGTGTTTCCTTCTTGTCTACTTATTTTTGTGTTCCTACCCTCCTGTCTTTTTGTTTTCTTCTTTTCTTTGTTTCTTTTGCTTTTCTTTCTCTTATATGCATGTTCATTGGAACGAAATGTGCCGTCACTGCTGCTGTTGGCCTTGAAGACAACAGAAGCAGCGACGTGGGGCCTCTGGCTGCGAGCAAGCAAGCCAGAGCCTTTGCAACCAAGCTCACTGGCTTGCTTGCTCAGCAAGCCGGATGCGGGTATGACATCTCCCCGGGCTGACCTTGCCTTGGCGGAATTTAACCCCTTCCAGGAGTTGACGTCATTACGAAAGGTGTTTTTCGCGCTACCAGGTTGCCTCATGTCTTGACAACCCGTACCACTGCACGAGCCATTCTTGCTTGTAGCGTCTGGTCCTTCTCTTGATAAGACGCTCGATGATATAGAGCTTTTCTCCCGTCTCGTTGTCCAAGATCAACGGTACAGCTTTTCGAATTGGGCGTTTGGGAAACTGAGTAGTGTTTGTCTGATGAGACAACAACTCCATGTTGAATGTCCGGTTGAGTCTCTTCATTGACAACGGAAGTTTCAGCTTTGCCACGTTGTCGTTTATCATACGTTCTATCTCGGCTAACTTCGCCTTCTTTAGCTCTGTGTTCTCGTTGACGGTCTTGAGTGGTAAGTTCTTTGTATCAAGTAAAACTTGGTCACCTTCTTTGAACACCACTTGCCTTCGGTTGCGATCGTAGTACTCCTTCTATCTTGGGCTTCTTTCAAATTTTTCTGGGCACGTTCTACGATCTCCTGGCGTTCCTTCGCAAAGTTCTTTGCGTACTCGGCGAGTGTGACGTCACTTTCTTTACGGAATAGATCTTTCATCTCTTCTGCCACAACGTTAGAAACCTTGCGGCCTGTGTCGACTTCAAATGGAGCCAATTTAGCCGACGCGTTTACCAATGTTGAGTGCGCATACTATATTATTCCGATATGCTTCATCCAATCATCTCCATGATATGACACCATGCATCTCAGTTCATCTTCGAGCACTAGATTTTGACGATCTATCTGGCCATCAGCTTGAGCTCGATGAGCCGTAGTCATACTCAGTTTGACACCCATCAGCGTCATGAGTGACTTCCAGAAGTCTGATATAAACTTTGGATCTCGATCACTAATAATCACTAGCGGTAAGCCATGGTGCCTGACAACAGCATTAAAGAATACTCCAGCTGTGTATTTTGCATCAGCAGTCGTATAGGTCGGTGCATTCTTCGGACGCTTAGACAACTTGTCTACTGCAACGAAAATCGCATCGAACCCCGCTGACGCTGGTAAACCCGTGATGAAGTCCATAGACACCACTTCTCAACGTTCCAATGGAGCTGGAATTAGTATCAGCAGACCCTTTTTTTTCTCTGACATCTGGACTTCCATCTTGCGCACGTTTCACAAGTACGCACATACTTTCTGATATCTTGATCCATCGTTGGCCAATAGTACCATTGTGCTGATTTCGGATACGTCCGTCTACTTCCCGGATGCACGGATGTATTGCCATCGAACTCTGTGATGAAATTCGTGCAAAGCTTCTTGGACTTAGGCACACACAATCTGAAGCCAGACTCTCCTTGCTTCTGTTTGAAGAACAGAAGACCATTATGCTTTACGAACTTTTCCTTGTCTGTCCCTTTGACCAGTGTTGCTTGAATACAGGGTCGGACGCATAGCCTTGTTGAAACGCTTTCTTCGTCTCCGGTCCCAAGTGTGATGAGACGAAATGGTAATTGACGGTGTTGATTTGCTGCTGCGGTAAACCAATAGGACGATTATCCCCCTGCAAATCGACATCGTCGAGTAACAGGTGTAAATCATCTGCTGATAGATGACAGATCATTGATACTTGAACCATATGATCATGAGTCTGTGATGCCTTCTTGGCACATTCTTCATCACAGTCATAGCCTTCATAGGTCACATCCGGTAACGGTGGTTCATTATCCTCTTCCGTATCTTGTCCACCCGGTGGAGGACCCGATAGTGCATCTGCAACTACATTCGCTTTGCCCCTAGCATGGCGAAATGGGAACGTAAACTGCGAGAAATGCGTGAGGAACCTAGCCAACGTTGAAGACTCTCGTGGATGGTACAACATCCAGGAATATGCCCAACTGTGCGGATATGCGTCAAACGGACGGCCATGTAGGTATTAGCGCCACTTCTCCGTAGCCATTTTAATAGCTAGGAGCTCTTTCTCATTCGTCGGCCAGCCTCTTTCATGCCGATCCAACTTCATGGAATAGAACGCAACTGGATGATCTTCATCGCTATACTTCTGAGATAAAACCCCTCCAATGCACTCTCTAGAAGCATCCGTTGTTACAATGAATGGTCGCTCAAAATCTGGTAACTTTAGCGTAGGCGCCTGTTGAACCGAAACTTTGAGATGCAAATAAGTTTCTTCCACACTTGTAGACCACAACCAAGGCGTGGGTGTTTCGTTAATTCCCTCAACGGACGAGCAATCGTTGCGAAAATCACAGATAAATCGCTGGTAATACCCTGCTAACCCCAGAAAGCTCAATTGCTCTATTCTGTTCGTCGGGTTTGGGTATTTCTCAATTGACTCAGTCTTCCGCGGGTTCACGCTTATACCTGCTTCAGACACCACGTGTCCTAAGAATGCCACTTCTGATTGTCCAAACGAACACTTAGACAACCGAGCGCACCGTTTTTCTCGCCGCAACACTTCAGACACTCCAGATAATCAACAATAACCTGCCGTTTCCATTGGGGGAGTTTGAGGAGTCAAACCTCATTCAAGCACTACTAGTCAAGGATTAGATGAAGCCCACACTCAACGCAAAGATCGTCGTGGAGCTGTTCGTTGAGCTATACACGTCGACAAGGAATGAGGTAATAAATTTTCTTGAGGAGAATAAGGAAGCCTATCCGAATTTTACGCTAGTCGCGGACTTCTGGACATGTAAGACTACCGGAGATAAGTTTTTGGGGCTGCGAGTCTACCTCGTGCACAAGTCGTGGCAATTTAAGTCTGTATTGTTGGGGACAAGAAAGTTCAACCCAGCGTACGGTGATCGAGAAGGCGGTATTTTGGGGCCGTTTAAAGCATGGCTGGAGCACATGTTTAAGAATTTTGGCCCGAAGAAATGCAATTTTTCGGTGCTACTAGCGGCGCTTGAGGGGACGTGATGGCGATGTTGCGCACGGAGTTAGACTTGCACTGCGAGTTGTGCTTCACCCACATGGCTCATGCCGCTACGAAAGCATCATGTGGTGTGAATGATACAGCGAGCGCTGAGGCGAATCCTGCTATGGCTAACCTGATATCAAAAATTGCGAGGACTATATTCCAGATTAAGCATGTTTCTACAACGGGCAATTTATTTGAAAGTCTAAGACAAAGGGAGCCTCAACTCGTCTTATTGGATACTCGACGTCACGCTTCCTGAGCTTAACAAACGCAATGGAGCAAATATTTTTGAAATGGCCAGCAATTACAGTATGGTACGAAGAGCGAAACCAGCAGGAGCTTCGCGTTAACAAGACACCTAGCTAGTTCTCACTGGCAAACCGCAAGGATGATTTAGTGCACGTCCTCTCTGTACTCAAGCAAATTGGAGAGATAAAACGAACATGCCAGGCAGAGCGTCCTGTGCCGGTTGAAGTTTCTGGTGAAACTCTTTTTGGCTCGCATTCAAGACCTCAACCCCGACCAGCCTCTGCCACACTACCTGTCGAGTGATGAGAATCCTAAGTGGATTACAGCAAGTGATCTTACCCCTCTCGCAACAAACACACGGCTCCTCCTGCGAGAAGCATTAGACGAACGCTTTTTTTTTTAGCAGAAACTACATGGATAGCAAGTTTGCAAAATGCTCTTTCACTTTAGAGATGCAACTAAAGCTTCACCCAATTTACAAGCGAACAGAAAGAAGCCTCGATCGAGGTGTTATTTTGTCGTGCCGGTAGCACGGTAAGAGTGGGAAAGAAGCTGTTGAGAGTAAGAACGCCGTGAACACAAAGGTTCGAAGCAAATTACATGAGCTGCTCGCGATGGTTATTGAGCCTGTAGACAACACAGAAACTCCTCCCGTGTCTTCCGTCGCGCGATTGAGTATAATAAAAGAAGAATTTGCCTCCAGGCCAGCTACACTACCGACTGTTACCAACCGCGATCGACGAGCTGAAGAGAAGTTGAACAGATGACTTGAGGATCCTATTGGTGTTGAGCGTTCGAGCGACAACACACTTAGAGAATCCGTGCTTGAATTTTGGCAACCAGGGCACTTACCGGGTTATTCCAAAAGCAGTCAAAGTGCTTTACTCGATTCCATACTCTTAATGTGAAATCGAACGTGATTTTGTTGTTTCCGGAAACATGGTAACAGCGCACGACCTAGCCAATCACAACATCGACATGTGTTCGTTCTTGAATAGAAACCTCAATTTCGTTGACTTACTACTGTAACGGGGTTACACACAAGTGGCTAGATGTAGCCACTTGATTACGACAATGGGTTTCACATTGGTGTGAGATACACCAATGGTTACATTTGACAGACC